CAATCTTTTCCTCCTCTTTCCGAAACCCACAAAATGATCCCAAATTAAGTTCGTAAAAAATCATTCCAATTCAAGCATTCACACCATTTTCATCTTTAAATGACTATATTTAAAGGTGGCGGTTGCTGTACACTGTGAAACTAACACGGCATGGTTTGAAAACGCAGGTGACATGTTAAGAACATGTCTCTGTTTTTGTCTTCCTTGGTTACTGGCAGTGCGTTTTGTGCTTTTCACACGTCTGCCTGTGAACTGGAACTGTGAGGGTGCTTTCTTCAATTTAAAAAAATCTCATTCATGTGCATTTTACGGCCTGTTCAATCTCATTAAGAGTGCCAAATGACTCAGACGGGACCTTGCTGTGAAGTGCAGGCTGTGGTAAGGAGAGCTGCAGCCTCCTTTAAAATGTGGGCCTGCAGGTTCTTGCTTGAAATTGCTTTGTGTTTTTTTTTTTTGCACACATCAAGGAACAGCAAATCTAAAAGCTAGGAAAATCTGTTCAGTTTCTCACATTAAGCTCGCTTCTGCACAACTAAACCATGTTCTAAAAATGAATCCTTATATCTAAGTAGCGAGGTACAGTAACTCATATACTGTCCCTTCCCTCACTGTGCAAATTTCACTGACTAAAAACTGCCCTTTATTCTGTCCTTGTTGAGTCATGCTAAAACTCACCGCTACGCAAAGAACTTTAAAATAAATGTCAAAGATTTAATGGTCCTTTTTTTCTTTTAAACCAAACAGCTACTTAGACACATATGAAACATGTAGATCACATATACAGATGTCTATTCCCACACAGGAAAAAATCAATATTTTAGTTCAGTGGTTCCCAACCTTTTCAACCACGTAGCCTAATCAATTTTCAAACATATTGCAGAACACCAACCACACACTGCCTGCTGTTGTTTAATACTCCAGTATTCAGCTCGGTATATACAGTATGTGAACCTAAAATACTCAAATAACTTGCACTTGTTAAACAACTGGAATGTATATGCCTTAAACAACGTGAAAGTCGTATTACTTCAACAAATACTGTATATTTGGAAAGCACAGTAGTACTTGTGCGTTAATGTACTGTATGTAGGCCTAGACTGAGTCTCACTATACTCAGTGAGATGCCTGGCACCATTTTAATTAATAAAAATAATTGCTTACACTTATATAGTGCTTTTCTGGAGACTCCACTCAAAGCGCTTTACAGGTAATGGGGGACTCCCCTCCACCACCACCAATGTGCAGCATCCACCTGGATGATGCGACGGCAGCCATAGTGCGCCAGTATACCTCACCACACACCAGCTCCCAGTGGGGAGGAGAACAGAGTAGTGAAGCCAGTTCATAGATGGGGATTATTAGGAGGCCATGATCAGTAAGGGCCGATGGGAAATTTGGCCAGGACTCCAGGCTAACACCCCTACTCTTTTTGAGAAACGCCCTGGGATTTTTAATGACAACAGAGAGTCAGGACCTCGATTTTATGTCTCATCCAAAGGACGGCGCCTTTTTACAGTATTGTGTCCCCGTCACTTTAATGGGAAACCAGGACCCACATAGGCCACAGGAGGTCTCACATCCAGGTACTGACCAGGTTCACACCTGCTTAGCTTCAGTGGGTCTGCCAGTTGTGAGTTGCAGGTTGATATGACTGCTGGCTAAGTGATAAGTTTTGCTGACTTTAGAGCTGGGATATCATGTTGAAGAGATGATTCTGTTGGCATTTCTCTTTTCTTCAGACCTCCTTTATTTGAGACCACGTGGTCCACAGATGGTTAACATTACTGTCTCACAGCACTGGGGCCCTGGGTTCGAATCCTGGGGTGCTATCTGCTAAATATGCCACATACGGACAGTTACAAACGAAAGAGGCCTAATTGACCCAAGCACCTCATTCAGCTGTTTCTTGAAAGCAGCCAGGCGTTTAACTTCAACAACATGGCTGAGCAGCTTGTTCCACACTCCCACAGCCCTTTGGGTCAAGATGTGACTCTGGTTCACGCTTTTAAATGCACTTCCATGTGGTTTCCACCTGTGTCCCGTGGTTTGACTATAACCTACTGGCCCTATGACTGCCGAGTGCCTCACGGGACAGGTTTCTTGGGCTATTTCATCTACCAGGCTGTAACGCATGAGCAGAGGAGAAGTTAGAGAACCGTGCCAGTTGCAAACTGAAACCCAGATAAGGAGAACACAACAGTACAGCCCCAGTTCACCACACCAAGACCATGACTCAGCTAGCAGCCATATCACCCTGCAGCTCACAACTGGCAGCCCCACTGAAGCTCAGCAGGTGTGAGCCTGGCCAGGACCTGGATGGGAGACCTCCTGGGAAAAACTAAGGTTGCTGCTGAAAGAGGTGTTAGTGGGGGCAGCAGGGGGTGCTCGCCCTGTGGTCTGTGTGGGTCCTAATGCCCGAGTATAGTGATGGGGACACTGTACTGTAAAAAAGCATTAGATGAGACATAAACCAAGATCCTGACTCTCTGTGGTCAATTTGAAATCCCAGGGCGTCTCTCGAAAAGAGTAGGGATATAAACCCAGCGTCCTAGCCAAATTTCCCATTGGCCCTTACCAATCATGGCCTCCTAATGATCCCCACCTATAAACTGGCTTCATCTCTCTGTTCTCCTCCCCACTGATAGCTGATGTGTGTTGAGGGTACTGGAGCACTATGGCTGCCGTCACATCAACCAGGTGGGGCTGCACACTGGTGGTCCCCATTACCTGTAAAGCACTTTGAGAGGAGTGTCCAGAAAAGCACTATATAAGTGTAACCAATTAATTAATGACTCAATGCAAAAAAGTGCAACGCTTTTGAGCATTTTGGATTCCCATATCTCACTGCACTCTCCGTTCCATTAATTTCCCTTTGCTCTTAGTGAATGATTTAACAAAAAACAGACTTTCAAGCAAGTGACTTCTGTTACGGGAACACTACTGTCCATAGAATACATAATACAACCTGTATTACTGCAGAGGCAGAATTTATCACACTTCACAAAAAATACCACCTCTAATTTATAGTGAAATTTTGAGTGGTGATCATACCATAAGGCAATTCAGAAAGTGCTTATAAGTACAGCTATGAACTTTACCCTAAACCCGTCTGACTCAGACGCTATGCAGCACACTGAAAAAAAACTTGTGGCAACTCAGTTATTTATTTGTCGAGTTACTAAAAAATAAAGATTCCATTGTTTCTCTTGAAAAAAAGCCATGCTTAAATCCTAAATATCAAGCTTCAACACTATAGCACACAATAATAATCAGAACTTCTCATTTCGCAAAATAGGATTTATATGTACTAATTTCAACACAGAACTACCGTCTAGCTTTAAAATGTAATTCACAGCGCATGTCCGATTCTGCATTATTCGTCGCATTTCAAACGTTAGGCTATTATGCATGCAAAATGTTAGCTTTATTCACACGTGGGTATATGGCAAACTAAATGTCATCAAGACACCCAGAGTGCTTTACTGACTAACAGCATTCAGTGCGAGTACAAAAACATCATACAATATGGATTCAAAACCGACACATTCCTCGGTAGTGTTACGTAGCCTAGCTACACATGACCTATAAAAACACAGATGTTATGTCAGCGTTTCGATCACTGAAATGTGTGCGTCTTGGGTCTTTGATGGTCGTTTTAGCTCCGTGAATGTACTGATGGGGGGAAACCAGCACTTTCGAAATTTAATTCCAGTCTTTGCACCGAAATACCCAACTCTATTAAGTTCTGACCTACTAACACTCCCCCAAAGCCTTGAACTCAACATGGCCTCCAACACAAATATTAACGTCAACCTAACCTCGAAGCGAGGCATCAACACCTTCCTCACTATTCTCGCATCCTATTGGGTCAAAACTATCCACACTCCGCCTCCTCAAGCGTACGGATTGGACCGGCTTGTTGTCTATCAAAGGCAGAAGTCTGACAACACACCCACCCATTTCAGGATGGGCTGAGGAAAAAAGTATAAACAAAATTTTAAAGGGCCTTATTTCGTTATATAAAGTAGTTGAAAACAGCGCTTCATCCGTATAATTAAGCCCGGTGTCTACGAACAACCGCATAGCAAAGACGTCCTAACATTTCCGGAGCACCTATTTATCCGCTCTTTATCAAACGTAACCAGTCATTAGCTAAAGAAACACCCAGAATATTAGAAATAGCTAACGATACAAAAACGTTTTTTTCTTACTGGAGCTTTCTACTGACATTGGCCAAAATCATCTAGGAATGCCGATCTAAAGATAAATGTTTAATAACCTTTCACATTGGTGTTACTGTGACATTTTAAAACGCTGTGGCTCTGGAGGGGGGCGTGTACCCTCAAAGAATGGTAACAGCTTTCGTTGCTTTTTTTAAAAAATAAAAATAAAACTGCCCTCAAGTTGTATAAACATGAATTTAGAACCTGCTGAAAATATAAAAACAAACAGAGCATATTACCTTGCAATCAAAGAAACTTGTTAAAACGATGATTTGATTAAAAATACAACACCATATTGAACACATGCAGCTGCATTACTAAAAAAAACGTGATATTTTCCGGACAATATCGATAAGCTACAAAATAAACGCATTTCGCGCATCCCATCCCAAAAGATATATGCATTACAAAAGTTGAGAGGATGCATCTACCTGTCCCAGGTGTTGAGCGTAAGTTAAGAAATAAACGGGATGTATTTAAAATACGATTAAATGTGAAATTTACGTAATTACAGAAACTAAATCCCAATTACGAAAGTCGGTACTACTCCCGATAATCAAAAAGAGAATGTCATTGGGACAGCTCAACTCCAAAATACAGCACAACTGCTCTGCTTTCAGCAGGAACTAAATCCCGTTTCTAAATAACTATGGCCTCCGTTCTTCCCCCTACAGTACATACTAATTTGTTTAAGAAAAAAAGGAAAGAAAATCTTCCTGTTGAGGCAGCACTATGTCCGTGCAAGTTAGGGGGAGATTGAAAAGCCACTTTACTCACCTTTAGACTCCCCATAAGGTTATCCAAGTGTCTTTTAGCCCAGTATTTGTGTGTTTTTAGCCATTTCTATGGTGTCCACGCTGTCTCCCCTTCTGGTTTGTTTTGTTTATCTTCTTCCTGACGGGTTCCTGGAAAGCGCGTGACTCCCCCCTCACGTGCTCCCCGGGCGACCAATCGCAGCGCCGCTGGAGGATTACCCCAAAACAAGCGCTGGTCCCAGCCGTCAATCAGCGCGGAAACCCCCCTATCAGGTGCCCCGCTCGTAATGCATAAGGGTGTGACGAAACCATTAGAAATGCATGGAAACTAGTAGAATTTTTTTTAAACTGTTTATGTGACGACTTACATATGGAGTTACATAACAGTACAGAAAGGGTATATATTTCTCTGTGTCGGCTTTACAAGAGCCAACGTGATGCGGTGTGTTTTTTTTCCCCCGTTTCCTCCCGTAGAAGGATGGAGATCATTTCTGTTACACAAACAGTGTGTAAATGATCGTGGAGTAGTCATGTTGCATGGTTAGTAGTTTTGTCATTTTCTTTTGCAGCGAGAAAAGCATCTCATAGATAGCATAAATGCATCATACTGCCAAGGTTTGTCTGATTTTAATCAGTTCACTTTTTCCCACTCACATATTTAACAAAAAGAACCTTCCCACTCCTTTTTGATTTGGAATATTTTTAAAGCAGACAAATTAGTAACCAGGCCATCACACTCATCCTGTTATTCCTATCGATTGTATTTCTGCATTTTGCTGTTTGCAAGCCAAGCAGCCTGAGTCACTTGACCAGACCTGCTTCCACTCTGCAGCTTAGCGTATTCCTATTTCACGTCACATCACCAAACTGCTTATCCCATTCAGGGTCACATAAGCCCTGTGCCTACCCCAGGAAGCACTGGTAAAATGCAGGGATACACCCTGGACAAGACGCCAGTCCATCACAGGGCACACACAGACACAAACACACCCTCACAGCAGAGACAGTTTTGCCAGAAGCCAACTAATCTACCAGAAGCACAGGCTGAAATACGCAGTAATCAGCCAATTCACAGTCCCTGTCCAGCACAGGGTCAAAAGCACACATTTTGAGCTGCCTAATGCAGATCTGGACTAGAGCTTGCTTGGGTGCGTCAAACCATTGCTGAGTATCCCATTACATTAAGTATTAAATAAAGATCCTTTTTCTCTAAGCAGAGTACTGATCATCACATGTTCAGCTGTTTTGTCAGGGAAGACTTCATGGAAAAACCGAGGCGAAATTTCACTTCAAGCATCAAACTTGCAATGGCGATTGTAATGGCAATGGTGATTGCAATTGTATATTGAGCCACAGTATGTACAGCTCTTAGCTCAGATTTCCAAGTCATAATTTCTTTCTGGTCATTTAACCGTAGTGTGTGGATATATGAAAATACGCTTGTGCCGGCGTATTTGTACATTCCATACAGGCAATGAAGTTTTTCAGTGAGGCCTGTTTTCAAAGCATAAGTACCAGCTTACCCATGAAACACAGCTGCTCCTATTCTTGCAGGTGTATGGTGTTTCATTAAATTATTGCCAAACTCAGTGTCCACTTCAGGCTGAGCTCACACCCCTCACGGCCAGGATCTGAAAAACTCTTCCCTCTTGCTCTGTGTTTTGGTAGGTATTGAGCAAATTCCCCGATCAATGCAGCAGACAGCAGGCTCCTGCTCTGTTTCCTCTGGCAGCAGAGCAAGGTTTCAACCTTTCAGAAACCCACTTATCAACTGTCCCTCAATCCCATCAGCACTCCTGGCCTCCCACTTAGCCCTGCTGCTTGTCCATTTGGTATTCCAAAACTTTTCATCTATGTGATGACACAGCTTTGTTATTAGGAAGCATTTACCCGTGAATGCAATGAACATCAAATTAAAATACTTAAAAAACTATTTAGATTAGTCCATATCACTGTATCATTTATCTCAGGTTCCAGTGGGGTAAAATAATTTCCCTTAGAGTTTGCTTTGTATACTGATAGAGAATAAAAACCAATTTCAGCAAGTAAAATTATTTTATGACTCCATGAAGTTGGTAAGTAAAGAGTAGACCTTACATCAAAAGAAAGCAATGCAAGGACATTTTTAGAAGAATAAAGTATACAGATTTTGGATATTGATCAAATGTATCGGGCACTTCTGTTTAATTAATGGGTCATTCATGACCGACTGCGACAGTTGAGAGACTTTGTTGCACTAAATGACATCATTAGCGAAAGAGCTGATGGGGCACAGGTGTTATAAATTGTTAAATGTCAGGTGAAGATCAAGACATTTAAGACATAAAGGAAACCATATACTCTGCTAAACCAGAGAACAACGCCTTCCGAATCGGTTTGTTAGAGGTGGGATGAGGTCAGTTCAGGTGATAAGTCCTCTTCAGTGATGAGTCAAGGTTTCCTGATGGAGGCCAGGAGTGGCACAGACATGCAAAATGATAAGCTGCCTGTGTTTAACTACAGACCAGTGGCTGGCGAGGCCCAAGTGTGATGATCTAGGTAAGAGATCTGATAGGACAGATTTACAGTGACTGATGGCTGACTGCACATCGCCATATTGATCACCTCCTGGGACCCGATATACTGCCCTTCCTGTAGCCTACAGCCTAATTATTAAGGATAATTAATCATTTGGCATTCCAGCCAAATAATGCACTTCCTCAAGCTGTTCATGTGATAATGGCTTTCCTGTGAGATGAGCACCCTCCTTCCGGGTCTTGAGCTCCAATGAAAATGCTTGAGCCGTGGTACTGTGCAGGTCAGAGACCAGACAACAGGAAAATGCTTGTCCAGACTCTAAGAAGGGAATGTGAGAGAATCCCACAAGAGAGCACCCGTAGCCTGCTGTAAATTATGCCACAAGTACGGCTCGCATTTCTTCCAACAATGGCCACAAACAACACTGTTTTCCCCCACAGTAGACTACCTGTTGATCGATGCTTTTAATAAATGTTAGCCAGCATTAATTTACCCATGTCACATCTGTTCAAGATGTCAGTGCACTTGCTACAAGAAGATGGTCATTCTTTCCTGACGACTTTGTGAATTTGCTGCAGTTGTAAGTGGCATGTCTTTTGATGCTCAATCTTCAATGGTTGATTTTCAACGCAATGTGCAATGGACATTACCACATTCCACAGAGCTATGGCTCACCTGTGGATTTACCGATCTCATGAAAATACGCCAGGGCCAATACTGCCCAGTAGCAGCAGTGGCCACCTCTTGTCCTCACTCGTGCTTAAAGTCTATGGGGCAGCGGCTGACAGAAACGTCTTGAAAGTGCTTGGGGAAGACGTGTCCAGAGGTACCGCGAGGCCTAGAACAAGTTAGTCCGTGGCTGATGATGTAACTGTGGGACACAATGGTGCACATTTCCAACACAGCTGTGCAGCCAGGTACACACTGCACAAGGAAGGGCAATGCAACACTTGGAAGATCGTGTGTAGGAAGGGACGCCTATGTAATAACCCAGTCGGGCTCATTCTACTTTGCTGTGGTAACACCTTGAAATAGACAAAGAAATGCATTAACCTACAGATCAGATCCAGACTGCTGCAGGTGCAAATGCAATACAGATCACCAAACCCAGACCTTTCCGGCAAGATCATGGAGATCATCAGTAAAGATCTTGTTAAGATCATGGAGATCATCAGTAAAGATCTTGTTAAGATCATGGAGATCATCAGATGACAGAAAATGACAAATCTAACCCCACCACCACCACTTCCAGAATAAAAATGCCAAGCATTATGGAACAAAATAAAAGAAGTAAAGATGTGAACCAATGAAAAACAACGTCAAAGGTCTAAATCTTTTATCTATTTATAGGAGCAAAAAACATTGCAAACCACATTCTCTGTCAACCACAATCTGCATCTACACGTTCTTCCATCTCGTTTTCAGTGTGAGCTATTGGATTTCCATAACGTAAGTAAACGGCAGAATCTGTTACAAGCCCTGATAATAGAGGGTCGGGCCCAGCCCATGAAGGGTTTTTAAGCCAATATTCAGTTTTGCTCCTTATTTTCAGGCTTTGCAAGCGCACATTTCAGAGTGCTGGATTTTAAACCAGGTTGTAAATGCCAGCTCAGAACGTTTTTGTTCAGTATAATCAATACTCTGAATAGGAGTTCCCCTTTCAGCATTTCAGTGCAGCCTCTTGTGCTATTAAAAGGACCGCAGAAAGTAACAAGCACTACAGCTGCGAGCTGCACAGTTCATAAGGGGGGTTTCCACTGTAGGAGCCCATCTGTCTTTCAGAACATGTAGAAAAACCTCTCAATATTAATTTCAAATTCACACATCTCCATTGCTCAGTTTGGCACCTATGAATGTAAAAGACAATGATCTAGACTTTAAGGATTTCAAAAAAAACATTATATCAAGGAACCAAGAATGATGTCCGCCAAAAGACTTTAATTTTGTCTTCTGTCAAAGGAAAAAAAAAACATCCTCACACACAGAAACCAGAAAGTTTAAGACACAATGACAATTTGAGGCACAGATATGGATCAGGAATAAAATAAATACTTCGTAAATTGAGCTGGAATGAGAAAGGGCACAAGAATAAAAAGTACATATATATAAATAAATCAGTCATGTGTCATTTAGTTTTGCCAGGCACAGCAATCAAGTGTTAAGACATAAAACAAATCTGGGGGAAAAAAAGCTAATTATTCACATCTCATAAAAGTTATCCAAATTCAACCTCAACAAATTCAACACGGGAGACAAAGTATCTGAACTAGTTTGTTTCATTTCTCTGCTGCTCTCTATTACGAGGTCAAGCTGTGGCTGTGGTAAGACATCAGATGATTAAGGACCGTTCCCTTTGTACAAGACTGACGACGAATAAAGATCTGATTCTGGTGGGGAAGAGAAAAGAAAAAAGATGAAAAAGGGAGGTCAGTAGGAGCAAGATATGTAAACCATTTCCTGTAGGGCACTTGTAGGAGGTTCTGGCACCCCTGGCTACTTTTCCCATCCAAATACATGGATTGCCTCATCCTAATAATTCCAGCCCCTTCGGGATGAGGTATTCCCTCCAGTGGGAGCAGGAGCCCAGAGGAAGCGGTGCACTTCACCAACACGTGGGAGTGTCCGCAGTTTAAGCTCTGTGCTAAGCTCAGGCCCCAGGCACAGCCGGGAAGACTCAGCCCCGCTACAGGCTGTCCGGTTCCGAGTCCTGGGCCAAGCCAACCTTTCACCCCGTAGAAATGGCCAGACATGAAACCGCCACACCAGCAGGCCGAGCAAAGGCATTTTTTCCGCAGAACAGCTTTATGTGTCCGCAGCTCTGCCGAAGTGGACCCCTACTGTCCGACACGGGTCTGGACAAAAGGGGGGAAACTCAGTTAGTCGTCTTTTCATTTGAAACAGCAGGCAGCCTCACTTGTTAACTTCTCTGCCTTTGTGAGGCTCCACAGAGCCATAGCAGAATCACTGAATCTATACGAATAAGGAAGTGAAATTTCGACAGACTGTTGGAACGAAAGTCTACTGCAGTCAGCAATTATACAGCCACATTACCGCATTCTCACACAGTTGTCTTTTCAAGCAATGTTTTTTTTTTACTGGTTCTACTTGTGTTTTGTTCTTGTAGGGTTATACAGACACCAGACTCATTCAAGTGTCCAGTAGCAGATGTACAATAAGTGTGTTGGTCCGAGAGACTCTTCGGCCCCCGGCGATAAGGGTACCAGATTCTGTCCTTACCTGTGCAGGGAGAGGGGTTCTGGGATGAGAGACTCTAAGGCCAGTGGTGATAAAGGTACCAGATTGTGTCGTTTTTCAGCTGCGGCCCAAACAGGGGGTTCAGCTGGGCAAGAATGGCGATTAGCCAGCTGCATAAAAATAAGAAAATTAAACCAGAAGCGTAGTGAGAGGATTCACTCAGCCGTTCACCACACACAACCCTGAGTCATACCGGGGAGCTGCATTCAGTTCAAGAGCTACTACTGGATTCCAGTGTCATCTGTTGTCTTGTTAGGCCCTGCAGCGCCACAACCCTTGACATAAAATGGGTGTTAATCTTACCTCCAACTGCAAAGTGGGCAATCCTAGACTTTTACCGCACTCTATAACGATGGTACTAAACATTACTTCCACATAGGATCTCAAATGACTTTATAATACCATAAGATCCAAGGCAGAAATCAGAAGCCATATGCATATATAACATATAGATATACAAAAGACATGCATACAAGCTGCAGCATTTATCTAGTATGCTCTAAGCAGTATAGATCCCTATGTGTTATGCTATGTACTTCTATTTTCCTTTGGTCTTAGGAAGCAGTAACTTGGTATTTTATGTCTTTAATTCAATGATTGTATCTCACTGCACTGAATAGTAGGCCCACCCGAGTCAAAACAACCACAGCTCTTATGTGCCTTAATTACATATTTTAAAACATCCACGGATCAGGCCTGGTTGCATGCAAAAATGTGCCCGGTAAAAATGTTGATCTGGAGACTAAGAAACGATGCTGCAGTTTAGAGCAAAGGTACCTGCTGGTTGTTTATTCCGCTTCCCTAAATCTGACAGGGCTTGGATTGCTATAATTAATACAGCTGTCACTGTCACTGTCATATTTGGCAGCAAGCCTCTACAGCAGAGGTCTCCTCTCTCGTGGGTCTTTGGGCGACTTGCCCGAACTGTGATTAATTTGGTCAGTGCGTCTTGATGGGATTCTGGAAGCCACATTTCTGGAAGAACCTCTGCACTGCGTAAGTGCTACTGCTTCGATGGGGGGTCAGAACTTATGTGCTAGGAGGCACAGGTGACCAAATCGCCTATATCTATGATAGAAAGGGACTAAATTCTCCCACCTGCTTCAGCAGCATATCATACTCAAACATTTAACGCCTGACAAGGGCATACGTGTCACCAGGCATTGTTAACTCTCATGGAAAATAATATATTGAGAAATGAAAAACGTAACAATGTCGAGAAAGACGTGCATTATGCCTTCACAATGCTGTGATAATCCCCTGTGCTAAAAAAACAACAGTGAGAAGTTTTGACAGTGGTATTCTTTCCTTTATGAAAATCACACAATATTTTGTGTTTTACTGCCCTCTTGTGTGCATGCCTTGAAATGCACTGCAGTATACACACTTTGTGTTAATAAACTGCACAACAACATTAAAAAAACATTAGGAATACATGGGCAGCATATTGAGATAATAATTGTACAGTTATTGCACAGTACCATAATTCATTCTCTCTCCTGGGACTCAGGACTCATTTCATTTACATTACTTAATGTCTTGAAGTTTTTTTACGGCACTCCACATCCATACTCATATTGCCAGAACAGAGAATAGGCTCTTCTTTTCCATCATGCTCCTTTGGTTTTATAGTCCCAGTGCCTGTACTGGCTATACTGGGAACAATCCTCCTGCTCAATATGAACTCCCCTGGAACTCCCATTATCACCACAGTCGGCCAGAAGGGGACAATTTTAGAGTAGAAGATCAGACATAAATTCTGTAGCGCTGGAGGATGGGGGGGGGGGAAACTAGAGAGCCCAATGAAAGCCCATGCACACACGGAAGAAATGCCACATCGACTGGCCCACAAAGCTAGAAATGAACCCACGACCCACCAGGCCACCTTCACCAATCGTTGACCCAATGTCACTGCCCAAACGCTCAGCTACAGATTCCCACCTCAAAGGCCATTAAAAGAAACCACGCAGCCCGGGTCCGCGTGCCCCGGCTTGGCGTGGCCAGAGTTTTCATACTTACAAGAGATAGCAGCAAACCGCGCAGGTCACCAGCATCGTGACGATAACCCTGTGGGGAAACAACAAAGGAGAGACGTTTTCACGTTCAGTACCTGCGGGTTTTATCTCAGCTAGGTTCACCAGAAAAAGCAGGGTGACTTGGAAGAACTCCCAGTTCAGGCTCGTCAACACAGCTGGCCGAAGGCCACCCGCGTTACTAAAAGAAGGACTGGCCTCGAACAGGAGGAGCCAATTTTTGCCTCTGTTAATTTCCGGCCGTAGGAGTAGTTAGCGGACTCCAGAATGTCATCTGATCATTTTCATTTTGTCAGATCCTAAAAAGCCAACTTCAAACACAAGGCTGGGTAGCTGCCTGCTACTCCTGGTGAAGAGGACCTCCTGTTTTATATGGTAAGTGTGCCTCCTATTTATTTCCTACCGGAGCATATGGACACTTTCATCGGGACCCTGAACTAGTTCGTGCACTTAGATCAGTCTCATTTGAGGTTCTGAATGCAATCGGGAGTTTTAACATACTTTTCCCATCCCACTGGCATCTGCCACACATCCATTCAATCATCGTGTAGCAGATCATTTTAAATTGTTTAAACCTCTACCCAGAACAGCAACTAACAAGATCACAAAACTCTTCTTCATTTGGAGATTACTAGAGTACCAAAAAAACACTAAAAGCTTTTCCTATGGTAGGGGGCTTGAATATTTTTGGAGATGTGGATTCGTCCTTGGTCAAATGTTTAAATTTAAAAGCATCAATGTCCTTTTCTGATTTTTAAAAGCAAGAATGATATTCAAACCCCTTAAAGATGTCCAGATAAATGGACTTTGTAAAAGTGAAAAAAACATTTTCAGTCACCAGCTGTATGCTACTAATTTGCAGGCTCTGCCAGTGGCAACTAAATCTGCCTAGTCAAACCTGAATAGCAGCTTGACAATCTCTTCTGCAGAACAAAAACAATGGGTGATGTGCCTTAATAGGCGCATAACGCCTTGTTTTTCTTTTCTAACGTTTAGCTGATAAATGACCTTGAAAACATGGGACGTCAGGCAGAAAAATGGACAGATGGAAAAACAAGTGCCAGACATAGATGGAAAGACTGAGCATCTTCCTCTCTTTTCAGTTCTCATACCTTAACTACAAAGAAGAAAGAATTACATTAAGTCCCTAATATTCATTCATGGTCCTATAGATATTCAAAGGGAAGTCCTTAAAGACTTAAGACCTGGAAACTGTTGGAATGAAGACCAATTAAATCTTTAATATCTAATTAGAAGAAAAACACAGAAGAAGGCATCTTCCAGGATAGGAAATAAGGCAAAACTGCTTTAATTCAGTCCTAATACCCTGCAGTATAGAGGGCATGTTTCAAAACAAAGGAAATGAACCTGCAAACTGAACAGCAGAACTCCAGATACTGAGAACAAAGTTAAATGCAAAGAAACAAATTTAATAAAATGTCTAAACAAACAAATGGATCAATTAAGTCACCAGTTAGCACTGGAATGAAAACCAGAAGAGACTGTGTGCCCCCAGAGATGCCCATTAACCTGAATAAAATATTTTTGGATCGTAGAACGGAATTGGAGCACTCGCAGAAACTCCATGCAGACCAGAATGAGAACACGCAAACTCCACACAGAATGCACTCCCGTCAGGAATCGACCCAAGAGCTTTGAGGAAGGAGGTCCACCATACTGATCAATGCAACAAATATGAATTAATTTCCAAATTCCCCCTGGCTTTTACCAATCATGGCCTCCTAATAATCCCCATCTATGAACAAGCTTCATCACTCTGTTCTCCTCCCCACTGAGAGCTGGTGTGTGGAGAGTGTACTGGCACACTCCGATTACTGTTGTACCATCCAGGTGGGGGCTGCACATTGGTGGTGGAGGGTAGCCCCCACTGCCTGTAAAGTGCTTTGCATGGTTGCATGTTATAATAAGTAATCATATTATTATTAACATTATTTATGTTAGGAAAGAAATGGGTGAAATAAATGTGTGGATCTGGTGCAGTGGTTAGCTTTGCTGCGCTGGATTCAATTCCTGGGGTGCTGTCTCTGTGAAGCCTGCATGATCTCCCTGTGGTCACGTGGATTTCCCCCAGCTGCTCCATTTGTTAATTGGCTTCTGGGGAAATTGGTCCTGGTGTGAGTGGGTCTGTCTGCCCTGTGAGGGATCGGCATCCTATCCAGGGTGTACCCCGCCCTGCGTCTGTGGCTGGTGTAACGGTTCTTGGGGTCTCCACCCTTGCCGCTCCTGCCCTGCCAGTTCATCCCTCACCGATGGGGCGCGAACCCGGGTCTCCGGTGTCACCCAACAGGGAACTTGCCAGCTGAGCTAAAGGAGAGCTCCCTCAGCCCGGGCGGATGAGATCCCTGTTATACGCAGGGGTGTATTCGTTACACATGCTGGGATAGGCTGTGGCTCCCCCATGACGCTGAATTGGATGATAGATGGATACATACAGAAGGCATCACATTCCCAGCCACGGTGTCAATACCAGCAGCCATATCACCCTGCAACTCACAACTGGCAGCCCACTGAAGCTCAGCAGGTGTGAGCCTGGTCAGTACCTGGATGGGAGACCTCCTGGGAAAAACTAAGGCTGCTGCTGGAAGAGGTGTTAGTGGGGCCAGCAGGGGGCGCTCACCCTGAGGCCTATGTGGGTCCTAATGCCCCACATTGTGGCATTAGGGGACACTATAATGTAAACAGGTGCCGTCTTCGGATGAGACGTAAAACTGTGGTCCTGACTCTCTGTGGTCATTAAAAATCCCAGGGCGTTTCTCGAAAAGAGTAGGGGTGTAACCAAATTTCCCATTGGCCCTTACCAATCATGGCCCCCTAATAATCCCCATCTATGAACTGGCTTCATCACTGTGCTCTCCTCCCCACTGAGAGCTGGTGTGTGGTGAGGGTACTGGAGCATCATCCAGGTGGGGCTGTACATTGGTGGTGGTGGAGGAGAGTGTGAAGCGCTTTGAGTGGAGTGTCCAGAAAAGCACTATAAAGTGTAAGCAATTATTATTATTAATTCCAAATAAATCTTATTAAAACTTTTTAAAACTGCCAACCCAAATCCCTGAGGACCCGTGTCCTGCAGGTATCACAAGTGCCTTCAGAGCGTGAAAAGAAGTTTAACTTGTGCCATTCAAGCAGAACAAAACCTCCAGGACTACAGCTGGGCACCCCTGCCTGGGTTGATACACTCCTGTGATCAGTCACATGCCTCCTACTAACGCTTTGAGATCAGCTTCGGCCTGACTAATACCAGGCGCTGAAGAGACCAGTTAAAAATAAAAGCAGAACCTCAGTCAATGCCTCTGGCGTCTCTGCAACATTAAAGCCAATGGCAAGCGAAGGCGACATCTTAAACACGGGAAGCCAGGAGGATTTCTTCACTTCCAGAGCATTTTTGCTGGCGACGAGCTTCCCCCTTTAGATTCACTCAGTGCCTTTCGACTGCGTTGCAAAAACGTGCACGAGTGATGGGTCACGTGACATGCGACGCGCGCTCCCGAACCACATCAGTAGTTTCATAAAGCAACTTAAAACAGGTTGCTGTTGCTCCAATTAGCAACATTTATATCATGTTAAAAGTTTAACTTAAAATGGAGCGAATTCAGTCGCTTCTCCACCTCTTTTCTCTCTTCTATTTCATTTTACACGTTCGACACAGACGCGTCACAAGAAAATCGATTAATTGCTGCAAAGGTCGTAAAAACACTGCAAGAACACGTAAATCCGTTTCTTCGCAAAATACATCTTTAAATTGTCTAGAGAACAGGCAGTACATAAAAATATAACGTGGCTTGCAAGTAATTATGCAGCTGAATCGATCGATCCAGTATCGCTATGTTTAAACCAACGGGGAACTAAACGCCAAGTATGAAAAGGAATGAGTAGGACTCTTTTTAAATTCGCAGCTCACGTAGTCGTTAAATTTGGTGTGAAGTAGTTTTAAAATACGAGAAACTTCGCTGTTAAAAGTGAGAAACCGTACTCACCCCCTGTTAGGTCCTTTGGGAATAAACCACGGTATAACGCCACCAACAATGGCCCAAAATAAAGTCATTACAACCATTGGGATTGTAAAAGCCAGAGACGCCATTGTGGAGGACCTTGCTCGGCACAGGGAACCCGAGTTAAAAAAAAATAACAAGAAACTCTTGATTACTTAAAAACGCTAAAACTAAAGAAGAAAAGCTGAGTTCTGTGCAACTTCGGCAGCAACAAACCCAGTCAGACCAGGAAGCTGTGATCACATGACGCCGAGAAGTCTGTGGAAGTCATGCGTCACTTGGGAGGTCCCGAAGAGTGTTTTTAAAATATAAGGTACTGTTTTCAAAACTTCATTTTAGATACACTGCTACAGTTGTAGCGACATATAACACATTAACTTGTTATGCGAAAATATTTCTTCTCTTGCATGTTGTGTGTGTGGTGTTTTAGTAGATGGCACTTTTTAGACATTTGATGTATCTTGTATTTTGCGCTACTTTGCAGAACCCTGAAGAAGGTTCCACAGCCGAAATGTTGTGTCTCCTTTCTTTTTAGCATGGAATAAACCTTTACATGTTCCTTTTTAAGATGGTAAAAGTGCTGGCTTAGAGGTAATGAATCTTTATAATAGTCAAATGTGAGACACATTACAGCTGAAACCTTTTTCACGCTCTGTACTTCTTTGTGTACTACACACAGAATGAGTTTTAAAATGGTCTTTATCCCCGAACTCCAGCTATTTTAGAAACGTAATAAATATAATTAATGTATATAACAAATATACTAATTGGTGGACACTGGTATTGTGGTGTAAATCGCACACAAAATGTAAACATTTAAAATATATGTTTCATTTGTTTTTTTGTTGAGATGAACGTACAAGAAAAATGGCAAACGAACACATTTTTGTTATGATACTTCGCTGTCTGTATGGCTTTATTAAGGTGAGTGAAACATTCTACACTGGAATTGACTGGTACCGTCGGTGACGTTTGCTCTACAAACATTCAAAAGGCAAAAAACTGTGTATGCAACAACAAAAAGAAACAGAAATAAACAAAGGGAGAGACGCAAACGAGAGTACAAGTATATAATAAAATGTGGAAGTAAGAGACCAACAATTCGCAAATCGAATCCAAAAAATGACTAGAAAGACAAATATTAAAACAAAATCGGTTCATAGGAGCAAACTGGATACAGTCATAATTGCTCATCTCTATAAGGCTTTGCACTCCAAACGTGTTCACATTTAACCAGCAGCTGTATCACACTGGCAGCCTGCTGAAGCTCAGCAGGTGTGGGCCTGGCCAATACCTGGATGAGAGACCTCCTGGGAAAGCTAAGGCTGCTTTTGTTGTATTAGTGGGACCAGTAGGGGGTGCTCACCCTGCAGTCTATGTGGGTCCTAATCCCAGTATAGGGTCAGGGACACTTTACTTTAAAAATAAGGGTGATGGCCTTCAGAAGAGAACTAAACTAACTAGGTCCTGGAGCAGCATAGTCATTAAAAATCCCTGGGCATTTCTCAAAAAGAGTAGGGATGTTACCCCAGTATCCTGGCCAGGCCAGTTTCCCCCTGTCCTTTACCAATCATGGCCTCCTAATAATCCCATCTATGAACTGGCTTCATGTTCTCCTCCCCACTGAGTGTACTGGCACACTCTGGCTGCCATCACAACTTCCAGGAGGGGACACCCCATTACCTAGAAGTGTCAAGAATCATTACTGATTTACTTACAATAATTAGAAGTTAATCTGCATCTCTTGCCATCTTATTACATACTATTTGTGCTTTTATCAACAGAGCTGCATCACAAGCAAATTGTGAAATTCAGATGAACTATACCTTCACCGCTCCACCAATGTTGATAGCTGGAATGAAAACCAGCAAGTGTACAGACTCCTGGACTATAGTGTGAGACATGAAGATAACGACTGACCACACTTTGCATAGTTCCATAAATTTGCACAGCTGTTCATTAACGAGACTACATGAATAACTTTTTACTCTCCTCAGTACACCAAATACAAAACTCATCACTTTCCAAAGCCTGTAGGTACAAGGGTGTCCAATTCCTAGTTCTGAAAGGCCAGCTTATCCACAGATTTTTATTCCAACTCCACTCTTAGGCCAAACTTAACTGGACCAATTTAACAGCTTCTCCCAGCCTTTTCAGTGCCACTGCATTAAAGAAGCTTAGAAAACCAGCCCTGCACTATTTACAGTATCACAAAAAACAGGAAACTTCAGAACCCATTTTCTCCTTAACAACCTTTTCATAAATAATTTTAGTCAACATTGGAAAAAAGACTTTTATTCAGTAATCTTCCTTTTAAATCAAAAGGCTAAATGAGGTAGTAGGTTGATCCTGAAACAAAACAGTAAAGACAAGGACAACTATTTCCTGGATTTTTACAGTCTTTTATTGGTGTTAGCAAAATGAATGTTATTTCATTCCTGCATTTTCTCAATGGTCTCCTCCTTGTATTTTCCCTTCTCCTTGCCATCCTGGCGAGACTTGGCTTTGCGTTCCAAGATCTTCTTACGATCCTTGTCCAGCTTTAACCTGGTGATCACCACCTGGAACAAACATTAAGAATAAAATGAAACACTAGGAACACCAGAATATGAACTTCTCACTGCTTCACTGAGCTAAATGTTTTCCAGAGGACAGCTTCAATTAATTTTGCCAAGGTTTAAAGGAATCCTAAGACACAGAAATTAAAGAAGCGTGTGAAATATTGTAAGAAAAGGTTTCCTATGAACATTAACATGAGCTGCAGAAATTTTCTTTTTAACAATGCTTTGAAGGAATTATTAGTTAAGGAGTTTAAAATTGACCCCCATTATAAAGCCTATATATAGCCTCTTTTGCAATATAGTTGTACCTCACTCATCCTACATTTAAGTTACCAATGGGAAGAATTGTCTCTACATAAGGACAGCCTTATTGTGGCTCACAACATGTTTGCAAAAGTGCTTTTCACATTCATCTTTGATGGCATAAAACAAAACCTGCACATTACATGCTGATCAGCATAAACAGAGGACTAAAAGAATTTTCAGAGCATGAAATGTTTAACTAGCTACGCTTGACCTTTACCCAAAAACCAGCAACCCTTCAGGCAAGGCAAGTTCTGACTTTTAGATACCCCACTCTCTAGTGTCCAAGCTCCCTTAAGACAAAAGTACCAATTAAAAGACTTCATTAAAGGGGCCGTACCTTGCTGGGGTGAATACCGACATGCACTGTGGTGCCATTGGCCTTCTCACGCTGGACGCGCTCAATGTAGATGACATACTTCTTCCTGTAGACCTGCACCACCTTGCCGATCTGCTGCCCTTTGTAATGCCCCCGGACAACCTGCACAGCACAAACACACTTCAGCACAGGCACGCACGTCCCAGTGGTCCCAAAATCCCTGCTCCGAATTCAGAAAGCTTTGTACAGAAAAATCAGCTTCCTGGAAAACACTGTCACATTTACTGCCCTTTAACATCACTCTTTTGCTATTCACCCTGTAACTCAATCATTTATCTGTTTTCGGAATTCTCTTTCTTTTGTGAGCTAGACTCCTGATCACATTAATCATACAAAAATCACTTATTTCCTTCAGTGCAGCTGTTCATCAACCATTTAAATTTAAGCTGTGGGCCGTTTAAACATCAAAATAATAATGAACTGTTTTATATAGCACCTTTAAAAGTGACTTCTCAAAGTCATTTACATGAAGAAAAAAACACAATGAGAGAAGACAGCAGAATTACACAATCACAATAAGGGCTTGGGATATAGTACAAAAAGACATAAAACCAATTAAATAAAATCCCTTTTAAAGTAGAAGGTTCTGATTTTGTTTTTTTCACGTGGCCAGGGAAGGTGACAGATATCCTCTGGGGCTCTGTAATGTTCTGTTCTTAAGCTTTACAGAATCTCCATTAAAATCACTGTTTGAACTGCAGGCATCCCATTTCTAAACTAGACGTTCACAGCCTGGTTCCTTGCTTCATGACAGCATAACCCGTCTTTGGATGACTGCATGACAAGCCCAGAGTTGCAGGAGTGTAGGTCTTGCTACCTCTGACCCAAAACAGGAACTCCTCAAATCAAGACCCACCTGAACCTCGTCGTCCTTACGGATGGGCATGGAGCGCACGTTGTACTTCTGTCTGAGCTCCTTGGAGAGGGGAGAGGACATGATCTTCCTGCGAATGTGAGACGGGGCATTGAAGTGCCTCTTGCGGTTCTTGCGGCGGGAGGATGTGACAAATGGATTCAGCTTCATGTTGGCTGGGGAAGAGAGGAGGAAGACCAGGTGATTATCCTGCAATGCTCTCTGTACAGCCGAGAGAAAAAGTATGTGAACCGGTTGGAATCATCTGCGTTCATGCATTAATCGCTCTTCCGATCTTCATCTAAATAATAATAATAGAAAAATACATTCTGATTAAACAACAAAAAATTGTCATGTCTATTTCTTTCCTGTCACTGTACATAGAGTCTTCACGCAAGAACTGTATTCTCATCCCATTAGCCTGAAAAACTGCAGGACAGACAGATAAAACAGAGACCAACTGAACCAACAGACCAGCCCTTTTGGAATCTGGAGAAGACAGGCTCTACAAGAGGGGACTGAACATCTGCAAAACTGTGCCATTTTGGCTGGTCAAGAAACAAAGCTGCCATTGGAGGGAATCTCCTGTGATATTGGGTTTAATAAGCTGCAGTTTCTTGCACATCAAGTTCTGAATGCTCGCTTTAATTCTTTTAAATGTCGTATAACAGGAATGTCATTTATCTGACCCGGCTGTTTTCAGGGTACCCAGTTTTACAAGCAGCAAACTGCTGGGCAATGGGAAAGGCTTCTGCTTCAATGAAAAGGCTAAGAAAACCCAAAACATCAGCAGTCAATAATGTCCAGACCGGAGGTGTTCAATCCTGAGCCTGGAGGCCTGGTTTGTCTGCAGGCTTCTACTTCATATCTGTTGTTCTGTGTTTATCGTTCTGTACTATCCGTTGTATGTTGTTCTAAGTTGTGCATGATGGTTGGCTGCAACTTTCATTATTTACTGTTTTGTAATGTACTGTGCATAATGCGTGAAAGTGTTGGCAATTGTACTGTTCACATCCCGAGAACACAGTGCAAACTGCAAATAAATTCCTCCTCTCTAGGTCTCCTTACAGTGGCAACACCTAAAGAGCTGGGAGTTTAATAGATTCAGTTCAGCTAGATATAAGCTGATTTAAGTGATGAAAACCTGCTTCAATACCAGCCCTCCAAGATCAGTTTGATGCTCCTGGTCTAGACATTATTAATCATAAAAACTAGGTACTTGAAGACATGATTTGTACACAAAGGAGATTGGACCACACAAGTCACACCGCTCCTAAACCAAGTTACTCATTTCTTCGCTGAAGAACCGAGCCAAGCAGCAGTCCGGATCCCGAGGCAGCTTTAACCGGGTGAACCAAAACAACTTTCGTTTCTTAACCACCGATACAGCCAATCGAGTTTTGTTAATATTTATCAACCCTACACACCGATTCAAAAGTGACCACATTTGAAAACGTATAACATGCAGCAGCTCAACAGAAGCTTCACCCCTTGAAAGGAGTGCTACTCTTCCACTAGGTCATATTCCTCTGGAAACATAAACGACAGCATCGTGAAAGACACAAACCACACTTTTTCGGGACTAATTTATAAGTGGCAGAAGTCAGTGAAGGAAGTTATAAATGCATGCCTGCGATAAACAGTTTCAACAGGCCAGATCAGTAGCTACTCGGTCTTAATAACTCATTTCAATGAAATAATGGCACTACAATACACCTTATAAGCTCCTTGTTTGAACACACGGTGTTTTGTGAGGCGCCCATTCTCTAAAACTCAGGATGCCAACAGATTTCTTTGAAATACATTAGGTACAGCAGATCTTACCCTGCCGATCACTTCACTATGGCCGCCGGAAAAGAGAGTCTAGAAGTACTTCCGCTCACATTAGTGCGCCGGTGTTCTCGCGAGAACTTCTGAGCTGAACGAGAACAGAACGCTTGTTCAAATTATGAACAGCGACACTCAGCGGAGACTCAATAACAGTAGCGTCTCAGAATGGAGTATTATTAAGAAATAAACATATCAGAGTGTCATTTCAAGAAAGAAATATTTCACATAAAATGAGAAAAGAACTGAGAAAAATGCTACATATCTAAGGGAATGTCCGTAACTGACAGGCTTTGCAGGAAAGTACAGGTAGAAACAACTGCAAGTGTGCTTAAAACTGAGAAGAGGAGGCACTCCTTGAACCCAAAGAGTAGGGGGAGTTTGGATAAGCTATCCAACCACGTTGCTGTAGTTGATACTCTGGCTTCTTTCAAGAAACAGCTGGACAAGTTTTTGAATCAATTAACTATTATTAAATGGGCTAGTTGGGGCTGATTAGCCTCCTCTCATTTGTAACTCTTCTTTTGTTCTTCATGCTGTACGTACATTAACAGAGAAATAGCAATGTCTCAATGACTTTGGTCAGACTTCTACTAATAATTTCTTGCACGTTCATTAACTACTCAGACAGTTGTTAATGAATACATAAGAACATGCCCAACTTTTGTATCTATCACCATACAGGTGATATAGCGAGCAGGTATATCACCCTGCAACCCACGACTTGCAGTCCACTGGAGCTCAGCAGGTGTGAGCCTGGGCCATACCTGGATAGGAGACTCCTGGGAAAGCTAAAGTTGCTGCTGGAAGACTTGTCAGTTGGACCAGTAGAGGGTGTGCGTCCTAATGTCCCAGTATAGTTATGGGGACACTACACTGTAAAAAACAAAGATGCCGTCCAAAGGACAAGATGTAAAATTGAGGTCCTGACCCTCTGTGGTCATTAAAAATTGTAGGTTGTATGGTGAAAAAAGTAGGGATGTTACCCCAGTGTCCTGGCCTTTACCAATCACGGCCACCTAATAATCATAATCTCTGAATTGGCTTCATCTCTCTGTTCTCCTCCCCACAGGTAGCTGATATGTACTGAGCATTTTGGTGCACTTTGGCTGCCATCACATCATCCGGGTAGGTGCTGCACATTGTGGTAGGGGGGCATTGCTGTATAGCATTAGCAGTATTAGCTGTATTTGGCCTTAGGTCATAAGGCCAAAAGGTGTTTAGAGCAGTAATCTAAAAGTAATGACAGAGATAAAAAGTCCCTGATACAGTATGTAAAATCAAAATTCTTATAAAAACCGAAGGGAGGGACCACTGACTGCATAAGAGGCCTTTAGATTGAAGCTAGAAGAGAAGGTACATGGTCAGAAAATCATTGGATTTGAGATTTGATTAAAATCTAGGCATGTGACGTGTGAATACACCTATTATTGAGGTCATTCCTAGACACACTTGGAAGTAAAACAGAAGTGATCAACTAGGCAATTATCTTCTCGATAGCACACAGGGAAAGATATTACCATTCTGAATACACCATTTGCAAGCAATGGGCACAAGGCAGGATACACCCTGTAGAGGACACCAGTCCATCACAGGGCAGACACAGACACTCACACCAAAGCCAATTTTCCCTGAAGCCAACTATAACTTGATCAAAATAACCTACCACTGTGATTCTGGACCATGGGAGGAAACCTGCTCACAAACATGAGAAGAACATACAGACTCCACACAGATAGCACCCAAGGTCAAGAGTTAAACCCAAGGCCCCACTGCTGCAGTGCTGCAATGGTAACCACTGTGCCAGCATGCCACTCTAGTTAATTAATAACTACTTACATTTAAAGAGAGCTTTTTATCCTGAAGTATCCCTAATATACTTAATCGGATATCCTTGGCAACCCACGACAATGCACAGCAGCCATTCTGCACAGCAGAGTAGGGGGGAGGAGAAATTTCTCCAATAAGGGGGTTAAGGTGAGACTTTAGAGAGGCAAGACTCTTCAAGCCCAGACTGGAATTTAGCCAGGACACTGGGGTTAGCACCCCTGCTCTTATGAACTAACATTGGTTTATCATCTCTGTAAACAGGCGCCGTCCTTCGGATGAGACGTAAAACCGAGGTCCTGACTCTCTGTGGTCATTAAAAAAATCCCAGGGCGTTTCTCGAAAAGAGTAGGGGTGTAACCCCGGTGTCCTGGCCAAATTTCCCCCCTGGCCTTTACCCCATCATGGCCTCCTAATAATCCCCCTCTATGAATTGGCTACATTACTCTGCTCTCCTCCCCACTGATAGCTGATGTGTGGTGAGCGTTCTGGCGCACTATGGCTGCCGTCACAACATCCAGGTGGGGGGTTGGTGGTGGTGGAGGGGAGTCCCCATTACCTGTAAAGCGCTTTGAGTGGAGTGTCCAGAAAAGCGCTATATAAGTGTAAGCAATTATTATTATTATTATTATTATTATCTCATCCAACAAAGGCACCATCTACAGTAAAGTGTTCCTGTCTCCATTCTGCAGGGAATAGTTAAAAATAACCCTAAGGACAGAGGGGGAACCTACTCAGAACTTCTTTACCCACAGGGTTGTGGGAGAGTGGAACAAGCTGCCTATACACGTTGTTGAAGCTGATACTCTGGCGTCTTCTAAAAATGGGTGAAATCCTTGGATCAATTAACTACTAGGGACAAGTAACGGTTTATTCCATGCTGAAAAGAGAAGAAAAGAAACACGATGTTTCCGCTGTGGAGCCTTCTTCGGGTGGACACCCCTGAAGAAGGCTCCATAGCCGAAATGTCGGGCTTTTTTTCTTCTCTTTTCAGCATGGAATAAACCTTTCCTTGCTGCTCTGCAGCCTACGCATGCTGACCCAGCTCTCTACTTCAATTAACTACTGACAACCAAATGGGCTCGTTGAGCCAGATAGTCTCCTCTCATTTGTAACCTTTCTTCTGTTCTTATATTCATTGTAGAGCACAGGTTTGGCAAATCTAATGCCAAAAGTGACACCTACTTCTCCACCAACACTTTACTTTTGTTGTTCCTAGGAAGTCTCCAAGCCCACCACTGACCCCTTCTACGATCTGACATGGAAGGAGGTAATACTGCTGTCAACACAGATGGAGAGCTAGGCGTAGGGTGCAATCTTCACAAGTCTGACAGAACAGTGCTGTATTGGGGGAACAAAAAAAGTACATGAGCTGTATGAACACAAAATTGTATTCAGTGAATTTCTCATTAAGAAAGCAGCAGAATCAAGAAACATCAAAACAATATAAAACATCTTATTGTTCCTTTTAAAGACCTTTGAGCTTTGAATGTCTCTTGCAAAATTTTGCTTCTGCAAAGAATAAACGATTCTTATCTAAAGAACAGACTTTTTCTGCACACATTATTGCGCGAAAACTAAAACCCAGAAAAACAAACAAAAATGTGAAGCCTGGTTTGTAATTGAAGGGTACTCTAACTCGAAGAAAACGTGGAACAGTGTTGGAATTCTCTGTCAGGTTGAACTAATAGTGAATGAGAACTCGCCTGCTGGTAAACATGGTAACTCAGAACCTGTCTCGAATTTTCCACTAAGGGGAAAGAAGGAAAGAATGGTTTCAAAGAGCCACGACCTCAGAATCTTGTCATGACCCGGTTTTTGCCGGAATATTTTGTTCTCCCCCCCACTTCCTCGCGCTTTTTTAGGGTTTAAAGCATTACTCATCCACTAAGAAAAAAAAATGAATTGTGGGAACGGGTTTCTCAAAAACACTGTTCTCGTGCACTTGTTCAAAGCGAAATCTAAATATTGTATGACAGAATTTATTGCGGTCACCTGTGCGCTAGAGGGCTTTTTTCTCTCTTCAGAATTATAAAAGTCCTGAGCATGCAAACAAGTCCTCCGAATATAAAAGAATCTGGGATCTTTAAGCAGGTGCTCTTTACAGCGCTGTGTCAACATTGGGCTCTCAAATGCGGATGTGCGGAGAGAAAAGAAACTTCGACAGGATTACAGAAATAAAACGCGCCTTGTGTTGCTCCGATAATGCGCTAAATTCCCTTCGAAAGGGCGTTTCCTGCGGTGTTATTTGCTCGTTCTGTGAGGCATTGTCTGAGCCCCGGAGTTTTAGATTTCATATTATGAGACATGCATTGAAGGAAAGACATAAAGAGAATGAAAGAAATTGCACAAAGAAAAGCGAACCTTAACCATACAAAAGCATGGGATACAAAGACCATACTAAACCAGCCACGATCAGAACAATATAAAATACAAAAATATACATATATTGCTCTTTCATTATGTAAATGCATTTAATTATATATATATCAAATAAGAATTCTGTATATTTAGAGGAAAATAATATATAAATATAACACCCCCAGCGCGCACACACACGAAAACAAAAATCGTATTCTCCAACTTGATAATCAAATCTTCGCATTCCGAACATCTCACGACATATGACTCAATTCTGAGTATACCTGTGTTTGAAAACAAAAGGATTGTATGAGACCTGATTAGTTATTGTAGTTTATTATCATTTATGATCATTTTGGATACTTTCGAACAGCTGCAAAGACTTCCAGTGGCTTTAAGGTATTTGCCAACATCTGTTCCTTTGAAAGACACGAGATAAATGTCTCTAGTTATTACATTTTTTAAAGTGAAATACGTTGTTGTTATCGTTTTAATTCAGAGCATTTAGGCTGGCATGAGCGTTGTTCTTTGGACACTACCCAAAGAAGAAACATATAAAAGGATGTCAAAATGAATAAACGTTAACCGCAAAGCACAAAGCGTTTAATTATTAACTGCTGCCTGTGTTCTCATTGTGGGAAATAAGAAAGCTGTTCGCATCATTAAGGCGCTATAAAACTCCAGCTGCCTGCATGCCTTCGCCCGCTGGATTATAAAGAAACTGCACGGCCGTTACCTGAGGGTCTGGCGATGCTCACGAGAGTCGGTGTGTCAGAGCCCACGTGGTGAGGGGGATTAGATCTAAACTAGTTCAATTTACCTGCATCTTCATATCCACTTTCCGACACCAAGGTGTCTTTCACTGCATCGGCGCTCGGCGTTGCGGGTGGTGGAGCTCTCTGTTCCAGTCAGGCTTTTAGAATTCTGTCATCTAACCTAATGCAACTTTGCTTCGTCTACATTCGCCCTGTGCGTGCAGTTTCATTTAGTTTCCGTTTGCTCGGGGGAAAAAAGGCGCCCTAAGATGTCTTAAAAGAGGAAAAACACAGTAGAGTCCATGACTGAGCAATCGGTGTAACATCCGTCGATTCAATTTTTTTCCCGTCTGCGCTGAACTCTTGGTCCAGTTCAATGACTATGGCGAGAGCGTGCAAACCCATGGTAAGTGAGCTTTAATGGAGTTAGAACCGAGTTCTAACTGTATGACTGTATGCAAGTACGACGTTTCATTCATATTTGCCATTAAATGTCCGTGCTAATCTGAACAAAATGCGTAAAACGGACCGACCAATAAACAGGTGCATGTTTTGCTGAAGATGTGCGAAATTAAAATCATGATACTTCAATATTGGTAAGTGCAGGAAAAAAATAATGTCAAGTGTTTGAAACGCGAAAAATGGATGAAAATCAATCACGAAATAGAACTGAAATGAATCTGGGTGCCTGGATTTTAACATGTAACGTTCCTAAGGTGTTTGCTGCGCTTACATTGTTGCGAAATAGTGCATTTTAACAAGGGCACACTCATTATCCTTTTATTTTCGTGCAATGTTCGCACCTGCTGCAGATCCTCGTGGCTGTGCTGCTGCTGTTTGTCGTGATGGCGACGGACACTGAATCGAGGGACAGGCGCAAAGACGAGCGAGGCGCGCGTCGGAAGAACGGCCGTTTGAGAAACAAGGGGAGCTCGGCGCGGCGCCACAACGGCACCTCGATGAACAGCTCCCCGGACCCGGTCCTGGTGACGGCGGAGGGGGAGAGCTCGCAGACCTGGGAGGAAGACTACGAGAAGAGCATCGGCGATATGGTGGCACAAGTGAGGAACAACTCGGCGCTGTCCAAGACCAAGTGCGCGGTGGATCGGCGCCTATGGATGTCCAACACCCGCAGCCTCTCTCCCTGGTCTTACAGGTCAGTAAATGCAGCCTGTGATGGCACTCGCTCTTCCGTTATATCTCTGCCTGGCTTGTTGCGCACGAAACCTCTTGGTACTGCCCGAAGAGGTATTTTAAAGCTTTTCTCCAACACAGGGTCATTATGAACAAACTACTGCAGAATATGGTTCATTAAACTCGACAATAAACTGGAGTTAATTCAAACTTTCAGCTGAAATTGAAACAGTTAATGACAGCTCCCGCTGATTTCTCAATACCTGTACTTATGTGTATTTGTGACCTGTTGCTACATTGTACCTTCCTCTAAACTTTAGTAACGACTTTTCAGCAAGCGTGGAACAACGTTTGCTCTAGGGCAGAAACAACAGCTTCAACAATCCTGGTCAGTTCCTTCAACTAACGGCAGGGAAGACCACCTCAAGAATAGGAACATTTTTTTTGCTCTTCACGTACTGTACCGCAATGAAACGCCTTAGATCAACGAGAACGTCCATCGCACCTCTTTGCATAAATCCAACTATTTTCTCTCTTTTCCGCCCCTCTCTCCCACCCGCACAAACCCAGCATTAACCACGACGAGAATCGGATTCCCGTCGACATTCCCGAAGCCCAGTGTTCCTGCTCGGGCTGCATCAACCCCTTCACCATGCAGGAGGACCGGACCATGACCAGCGTGCCCATCTACACCAAAATCCCGGTCAAGAGGCTACTGTGCGACACGAAGAGCAGGAAGCAGAGGAAAAAGAAGAAGAACTGCATCCCGGAGTACCGCACGGTGGTGGAGAACATCGCAGTGGGCTGCACCTGCATTCTCTGAGAGGGGAGACCGGCGCAGAGACATTCGAAGGTGAAGCGTGGGTGAGGCGTGAATCGCTCGCCCTCTCGTTTTCCTAACGGAAAAAAAGACAACATTCCTGTATCTTCTACTGCTTTTAACTTTTGAGTGCCTCTGTGTGGTTCGGAAAACGGCCACTTGTTCCATGGTGTCCTTTCTGTATACATCTCACTTTTCCATATACAATCAACACTGTTAAAGGAGCGACTGCGTTTATAGGCAACAGCTGCTTAATGAACAAAAAGAACACAGACTGTAGTCCGTACCCCGACCCCTTCTCTTCCGACACACTCCTCTGCAGGCAACCCAATTTTCAGAGGAGGAAAGAGATTTCTCAATTGGGTTGAATGTCACAAAGATAACGAACGAGGAGGCCATTCTGCGTTTCTGACGTGCTTGGCTGCTAGGTCTTACTCAGCCATTGCTTGAGAGGAGTCAGGTTCTGGGCTTTGCCCATGCATGGTGGCTTTTTCCAGTCTCCCACCACCCTTTGCGTAAATAAAAGTGCCGCCCGTCCTCAGCTTTACAGGACAATGACTGATGTCGGATTGCATTGCCAAACAATACACAGAACACCCTCTAGGGTTATCAACCAAAACATTTCAGTCCGGGTGTGTTAAAGTTAGAATAAATGTCACAGCCTATGTAATCTGCAAGATGGTTTTGGTATTTAATATAAGACTGAAATGATTCCACAGACTTAATTTCACACTTGTTTCATATGGCCGACTTGGTTCATGACTCTATTTTTCAAGGAAAACGTGCCTGATTACTATAAAAAGGCAGAATTTCAACATTCTGATACACTTTGATTTATTCAAATATTTCCCATGTCTCTATCGCAGTGCAGTGGTTAGCACTGTTGCCCCCCTCAGTGTTGGGGCTCTGGGTTCAATTCCTGTGGTGTTATCTGTGTGGAGCTTGTATGTTCTCCCCATGTTTATGTGGGTTTCTTTGAAGTGCTCTGTTTTTTTCTTAAAAGTCCAAAGACATGCTGGGAGGTTAACTGACTGCTGAGAAAATTGGCCCTGGGGTGAGCGTGTGTATGTTTTGTCTGTGTGCGCTCTGCAATGGACTGGTGTCCCGTCCGGGGTGTATCCTGCCTTGCACCTGTTGCTTGCCAGGATAAGCACCAGCTCCCCTGCAGCCCTGCACTGGATAGTGGTTAGAAAAAGGATGGGTGTATGTCATATCAATTTGAATACCAGGTTTTAGTAAATCTGAGCGACTGAGTGTGCATCTGAGAGACCACAGGCATTGGGGAACCCAGTTCTCAAAATCAACAGGCTGGACAAGTTTTCAGGCTTTAAACAGCCAGCACTGGCGGAAAACAAAATCTTTTGTTGAGCCTCTGCGTCCAGGTTCATCCTCCCAGCACTGGAATGGGAATCCACTTCAAACCACTGTTGTTCCCGGACTCCATCAAGGCCCTATTCCCCCCCTTCACCCCTAAACAGCCCCTGCCCTTCGTATTCTGCCCCCCCCCCCGTAGCTCCCACTTTGAGCCGAGCACTAGGGGTCCCTGGGAGACACTTAATGTTAAGTAAGAGAATCAGACAATTCTGGCAGTTAACTCGCAGAGTATTCACATGAAAACCTAAAGCTTTGATTACTGTTGAGGACTGGAAATGAACTAGCCTGAACTGGCTAGCAGGATATTTTCAAGGAGTTCTTGTGGTTTTGTCACGTCCTGGTCTTTAATCACCACACAGATTGTAAACATTATTGAGACCTTCTGAGACTCTTGCACGACAAGTATTTGTCCTTTTTTTTTGTAGAGCAATTGCATTTCTTGCCCTGTGCTTGAACACTACAGAACAAATCCTGTCCAATATTAGAACAACCTTTCAATGGTACCTTCTGCTCAAAATGCCGACATCTGTGTTATACAATGCAAAATAAATGGCAAAACTTCAAAACAGCTTTTGATATTTATTAAAGACCTTCTGGGGTGTCACTTCATTTGCAGAACATTCTCAAAGAATTTTGAATTCAGAAACCTACAGTAGTCACAATCAGTGCTGTAAATGAATCTTTTGAAATAAAAAAGACTAACAGTCCTTTATCTCCTCCTTCAAAATCAAAAACGTTTTACAAAAATTCTTCAAACTCTCATTGTTTCATTTAGTATACTGCATGATACCATAATTAGGTCTGACAATCCACTGTCATACTTGGAATTATCTGTAGAAGAAAAAACATCTTGTTAAAATGGAGTTTCCATGAACATGTCTACTATTTCACAGTGCAACTGTACTTGAACAAAGCAATGAACTATAAAATTGAGATGAATTTCTTCCAGCCAGATCAAGTACTGGTTTGATTTTGCACAAAAAAATACTAGAAAATCTTAGTGTTATCTTACTATTAGTAATGTATATATACATACTATAAGTAAAGCACACCTTGTAAAGTAAGACTTTACACATATTGTTCAGATGCTACAGGACAAAGTCCAAACTTACCAGAACAGAAAGGTCAATTAACCTCTATGGGGCAGAAAAAAACAACAATGAAAATTAATACTGTTTCCTAACTTGCTTATATGTAACATAGTTTCCTATCAAGACCAGCTGGTGCACCTGGTTTTAGAGATCTGACAGGAAATGGGAAATGTAAATCTGTATTGTCACATTAACACTATACTTGACAATTAGCAAGCTGAAGCTGGGCTTCACGGCAGCATACGTTCCCCACGCTGGGAATAATCTGCTGGCCCTGGGAGTCAACGGATGTATGTCCCTGTGGCACTTCAAGACCACCACCATCAGAAAAACCTGACCCATCCCCTTCACCTGCTCACAGAAGGAAAGAATAGGTTCAAGTTACCCTGCCATGTGGGTATTTGTGCTTTCCTGGAAGCAAATTGTAGTTCTTTTGGAGAAGTTAAATCAATTGACAATGTCAGACCCCAGCTCTCTTGCCCTCTCTAGGAGCCCGGTCGGTCACAGCTCGGTCTTGATCTTGTGCACCAGGTCCTTCTGGTCGATCATCTCCTGCTGCCTGTTCCAGCGGTGGTAGGCCAGCAGCGCAATGTTTTTGGCCGCCACGGCGCTCATCTCCATGGCGCTGGCAGCCCACTCGATACCGTTGAGGTAGTAGAGGCCGTCGTGCAGCACGAGGGGCGGCAGGGCCTGAGAGGACCCATACTGGGGGTACGCCTGCCAGTCCGTCGCCTGGACGGAGTAGTAGGACTTGAACAGGGTCTTCAGCTCCTTCTTCCCCAGGAGCTGCTGGGAAAACACCTTGTAGACGGCCGCCTCCTGCGGCTGCTTCCTGCGGAAGGAGGCACTGATGTTGACGGGGCAGACGCTGCCCACGCTGTTGAAGAAGAGCCCAGGCGTGTCGGTGGTCAGCATGCTGGCGAAGGGGAAGAGCTTGGGGTCCGGGAAGCCAAAGTAGGAACAGTTGAGGTAGCCGTGGACAATGGACGCCACTGTGTGGTGGTAGGAGCCGGTGATTCCTGGCAGGGGCGGGTCGAAGCCGTCAAAAGCGAGGCCCGCCGACCCATCCTGCTGCAGGGGCGTCGCCAAGACGACAATGTCATAGATCTCCGCGCCCTTCTCCTCCTTCTCATTAACAGAGCTCAGCTGGTACTGGGTGCCCTCGGCTTCGGAGGCAAAAAACGAACATAGAAACACCCAGCAAATAACAACACAAACCTACAAAAGCATAAAGGGGAGGCCAACGCTGCTTCTGGAGAGCCACCGTCAGGTCTTACTGGTCACAATTAAATCATCCATTTTTAAAGGACCTGGATCACACGCGAGTTCTGATCATCTTATTAAAGTTACATGATTAATTGACACCTAAAAAAAACTCAGGGGTGCCCTTTGGGCAGTGCTTTCTAACAGGGTGTTTTTTTGTAACCTGCTGATTTGGACCAAACACCTGCTTAACTGACCAAAATGGAAGTGTTTGGAAATTCAGGCTTTTCTTGGCAACCCTCAAAACCTGCTGGACTACAGCTCTCCCAAACCAGGGCGTTGTACTCGTGAACCATTTAGTTAGAGTGGACTCGTGTGGATTTTGACATCAATTGTGTTTTATCTACACAATAGATGTCATGAAATGAATAAAATGGAATGACTGTGATACACATTTTAATGCAGTTTGGAAAAAGTTCCATAACAATGAACTGAAATGGACTCTAAGGACTGGTTAAGCAGGAACACGACACAGAGGGACTGATTCTATTCTGTTTTTGGGTTTATGGCTCTAGTGAGAACACCACATGAGCTAATGTCTACAAAAACAGAAAATAAAAAGAGCACTGCACTGAGGGTTATGTCCTGTTTAGCAAAGTCTGGACATACCATACATTCAAGAGGAACATTCACAATCCATTCCCAACAGACTTAAAGGAAAATGCTTCAGTGTTCTGAGAAGGGTTCTGCTGCCACCTACCTGTTGCATGCGGTGCGACTGCTGTGACTTTGGCATGGATGAGACTGGCCCTAGCTAGGTTCAGCAAGCCAGAACATACCAGCTTGTTGCCTCCTTCCACTGACCACATATTGGCCTGGGCTCCAGCCAGGGATACCGCTCCTATTACAGAAGACGTAGGGATCAGATGGACATCAGTCACATGCAGTACCCTCACCCTAGGCACTGGATTTGTCCAGCTTCATGCCTCATGGTACAAAACCCCAGTATCTTGCCCCAGTGACCGCATTAAACTTCCATTCATAAGAACCAAAGAGCATAAGGTTTACAAACGAGAGGAGCCCCTCCAGCCCGTCTGGTAGATACTCGTTAATTGATCCCAGGATCACAATCTGCTGTGTCTTGAAAGATGCCAGGTCAGGTTGGCTTCAACCACATTGCTGGGTAGTTTGTTCCACACTCTTCCCGCCCTTTGTGTAAAGAGGTGCCTCCTGTCCTTGCTGGAGGATCTCATCTAGCTGTGACCAGATTATTGGCTTCAACCACACGGCTGTGTAGCGTGTTCCACACCCCCACCTCCCTTGGAGCAAAAAAGTGCCTGTACTTTCACAGCCCTGGGGACTTATTATACACATGATTTAAAACCGCACTACCATTATATAAACCACTACTATTTGTCATTGGCAGATTCAGTATTTTATCAAGAATATCAACTCAAAACATATAACGCCCGACGTTTCTCACCAATGAAGAGCTGCATTCCAGTCGGTTGGGGTCAGGAGGGCTGCGGAGTCCCAGCCTGCCCCCCGCCCACGCCCACTCCACCCCCACGCCACTCCGCGGCGCCCGGCATACCTACGAAGGCCGGGATGCTGACAGGCTGGCCGTAGTTGGCCCTCATGACGGCGGCGATGACCTCGTCGATGAAGCGCTGCGACACGCCCAGCTCCAGCAGGGACTCGGACACGGAGCGCCGCGTCATGTTGATGAAGGATGAGCCGCCCAGGGAGTGCAGCAGCTCCTCCACCGAGCTGAAGGCGTAGCCATGGGCCTGGTACTTGTAGATCCTGGACAGAGGGACAGGGAGAGCCCGGCAGGGGCCGGGGAAGAAGGGAAGAAGGAATGAGGAAGAGCAGGGAGGAAGGAGGTCACTGGCTCAGTGGGAGCAGGGGGTGGGTCGAGGGCACGGAGCAGGCGCAGGAGTCATCCGCGTTCGCGCGCGCGAGCACACACACATATCCCCACCTCATGAACTTCTCCATGATCTCCTCCACCCACATCTGCAGGCGGATGAAGCTGAAGCCGTAGCGCCACCACAGGCGGAAGAGATCCAGCAGGTACCAGTCAGTCTCCTCCAGGATGAAGTGCTCGCCGTTGAACACAGCGGTCTTCCCCGCCACGCTCTTCCGGTACTTCAGCCCTGCCGGACAAGCAGAGGTGGTCAACACACACACACACACACACACACACACACACACACACACACACACACCTACCGCAGCCCTGCCCAGCCCCTGTTCCTCCTGGGTTACAGAAACACCACACCGCCCTGCTTGATTTGCATTACTTATCTATCCTGTTGTCTAACTGCTTTATCCAGTACAGGGTTGCAGGCAAGCTGGAGCCTATCCTGGCAAGCAACAGGCACAAGGCAGGTTACACCCTGGAATTTACCTACCAGTACGTCTTTGGGCTGTGGGAGGACACCGAAACACCTGTAGGAACATGCAAACTCCACACAGACAGCACCCCAGGTCCAGTACTGCGAGGCAGCAATGCTTAACCACTGCGCCACCGTGCGGCCCTGGCATTACTTATTTGCTTTACTTTTTAAAAAGTAATATTAGGTCCATTTCTTTTCTTACTGTACCAATTTGTTCATCTGTTTAACTATTTCTGTTACATCCAACTGCGAGTGCCCAGACCTCTTAACCACAACATTACTGGGTAGTAGGGCGCACACACATAAGACAGAGAGTGGCATCTCCGATAAAAGAAGAAAATAATAATAATAATAATTGCTTACACTTATATAGTGCTTTTCTGGACACTCTACTCAGAGCGTTTTACAGGTAATGGGGACTCCCCTCCACTACCACCAGTGTGTAGCCCCATCTGGATGATGCGATGGCAGCCAAGTACACTCACCACACACCAGCTCTCAGTGGGGAGGAGAGCAGAGTAATGAAGCCAATTCATAGGTGGGATTATTAGGAGGTCATGATTGGTAAGGGCCAATGGGAAATTTGGCCAGGTTACACCCCTACTCTTTTTGAGAAAAGCCCTGGGATTTTTAATGACCACAGTCAGGAACTCAGTTTAATGTCTAATCTGAAGGACGGTGCCTTTTTACAGTATAGTGTCCTTGTCACTGTACGGGGGCATTAGGACCCACACGGGCCACAGGGTGAGCGCCCCCTGCTGGCCCCACTAACACCTCTTCTGGGAAAGCGTCCCAGCGCCATAACTGACCCAGCTGCTTGACGAAGTCCTGCATGTGCAGGTTGAGGGAGTGGATGATGGAGGCCCCAGACTCGTACTCCTGGTTGTTGACCGTCACCGTGGCCAGGCGGCCGCCGACCGCGCCCTTCTCGTACACGTCGATCCGCACCTCCGGCCCGAAGTGCTGCCGCAGGAAATGGGCCGTCGCTGTCCCACCGAGTCCGGCGCCGACGATGGCTGCGAGGGCAAGACGAGGGGGAAGCGGGGAATCAGTAGGGCTGCCCTGTGTCCGCGGAATGCAGAGTTCCTACCGGCGCAAATTGCGGACCAGCCAAAACTGCTCTTCCGGTATTGTAAGCTTAGTCCTGGGCTATTGTTCTTCAGGTCAGTTTAAAATCTTCTTGAGTTATAGAGAGAATTCTATTTCCGTTTGTAAATAGGTTTACGTTAATATATCTTTCTGTGTTTTCTGATTGGGTACAGGATAACGTGACTAGAGAAAAAGGGAGAGATCAGGGACAGAGACAGAGAGAATGGAGCTGGTGTACATGTGACTGTTCAGAAGTAAACTGCACAGGGAATATCCGTCTCCATCCAACTCCCATCCCATGGGCGGAGTGGTGGCTCTGTGGCTAAGGATCTGTGCCTGTGGCTGGAAGGTTGCCGGCTTGAATCCCACGGCCGGCAGAGGAATCCTACTCCGTTGGGCCCTTGAGCAAGGCCCTTCATCCCAACTGCTCCAGGGGTGCCGTATAAATGGCTGACCCTGTGCTCTGACCCCAAGCTTCTCTCCCTGTCTGTGTGTCTCATGGAGAGCAAGCTGGGGTATGTGAAAAGACAAACTCCTAATGCGAGAAATTGCATATGGCCAATAAAACAATCTTATCTTAGTGTGTTTAACCCCCACCCTGCACGAACCCTACAGTCACAGTATCACCGCTGACTTCTTTTTCTGTCTGTATCTATCTGTATTGGAGGTGAAGGTGTGATTGGGTTTGGTAGCTGTGAAGCTGTTTTGTATAAATATAGTATCCCCAGTCTGTGTGGAAACTTTTTTCGTTGTGCTTACATCAGCACTACAGTGCAGACCTGCTATCGACATCCTTATTACTGTGTCCTTATAGACGTGGCCGGTGTGAATGTCATCTGCACACTCCATCCAGCATTACACGTGCATGATGGTTTCACCCATTATCCTATAGCAGACAGGTAAAAAGGCCTGGTTTTATTAAACCTGCAACAAACCTGCCCTGGGCCCTGCCTGTATTCAGACCTCCCCACTTTTAAAAACTGATTTTAGAGAGGGGGGGTCATCCCTCTTGTGAAAACTTACTTGACCCCCAGCTTTATAATTAAATAATTCGCTGATAGATACTATCATATATATGCAATACACTATAAATACTATGACTCACCAGTTGAATTTATAATAATCTTGAATAATCTCACTTTCTTTGCAAACTTTTGTTGTACAGAGATGCGGTTTGTTTAGCAGATTTGAGCAGTCTCAGATGGCTCAGGGTCATATTATATAATGAATAATTCGATGATGATTTTTCGGATTTCAGTGAGACTCCCGGAACTTCCGGGGGACGTGGGGTGTCTGTATTTGCTGTGCTTTAACTGAATGCACCACTCTCCATGAAATTAAATGTACTGAGCAGTAATACAGCCCGCAAGAAGCAGTAAAAAAGCGAGCCCTGTAAGAGTGACGCTTGACTGCCCCTTTCCGTCAAGGGATATCAGAGTGACGACTTCTCATTTAGAAAAACGCACCTGCTGGCCACCCGCTGAGCGAGGAGTAGATCGAGAAAGAAAAACTGTGCAAAAAAGCGCCACGGTCACGCGCACGCCACGAGTCTGCCTATACCGTGGGCGAGCACGTCGTCCCACAGCCTACAGGGACTATAACCCGCATGCCGTCGCAACCGCAAGAGTGTTTCGAAACAAATCCCCGTACCTATTTTAGAAGGCGGAGCACCGTCCACTTGGGCGGAATCGGGATCTCCCACAGCGGCCGAGCAGCACCAGACGAGCGTCAAAACGCACCGCGACAGCAATAGGAACCGGGTCATGATGCAAGCTGCCGGAGAGCTAGACGCTGCAAAACATATTAAAACATCACGAGCTGATTACGAAACATTCGCCCCTGACAGTCCCGGAACTCCCTCCACCGAGGAAACAAATGCTGGGTCAACGCAGTAAAAAAGCAGGGATGTCACCTTAACATAAGGTATATAAAGCCATGCATCCCTGGTCCTACCGTCCCACCTTCCTCTTGTAGCGCTCTGCGCACTGACGTCCCCTTGGCGAGAACTGCGCATGTCCGTTTTTTTGACGGGAGACTCAGAAAAAAACCTTACAAAATATTTTCACAAAGCATGGGATTTTTGTTGTTCTTGTGGAAGAGGCTCGCGTATGACTAATAATGTTGTTGAACTGTTTTTGTTTCCAGTAACTGAACCGATCCGAGCTTCACGTACATGTCTTGACGTACACGTATTTTCCTCAAGACACAAAATAGGGAAGGGAAATGTGTTTATCAATGTTAACAATCAATCAGAGTGGCATTGAAACAGCATGGAAAAAAAGCGCTGCTTACAATAAAAGGTTTTGTTTTGGTCGGAAAGTTGAGTCGTCTTGTGCTTCCTTAGAACAACCAGCAAGGGGAGCGCTGAGCCGAGATTACGTGCAGTTGTTAGTGTGAAGTATTTTAAAGAAGTGCTTATGAATTATTGTTGTGTATGACCCCTCTGCAGACCACATCTTTCTGCGACTCATCAGCACTGCGCGCCATGTTAAGTTTACATGTGCCGAAACTGTAGTCCATAATTATGAATAATTCTCATCATAATTGCGTTTATACAACGCTTTTCATCTTAAACGATCCCAAACGATTCCACGAACAGGAGGGGGCGTGAGGCGGTAGTTAAGCACCAGCGATCCCACTACACTGCGGATCAAGTGGAGAAGTAAAACATCGCTGTAGGAGGAACTTCAGGAAAGTCAGATTGTTCCAACACAGAGTGGAGTGCAGCCAGGACACTTGCATGAACGCCCTAGCGCTTTCGAAAAGTGCCAGATCTTTAAGGATCAAACAGGCGGGACTTTGGTTTAATATCGGTGCGATAATAATAATAATAATAATAATAATTATTATTATTATTATTATTATTATTAATAATAATAATAATTTGGGTCCTTGTTTATTGGAGGTCTCCCATTCCACTACCGGACAAGCCCAAGATCAGCCTACAAGGCAAAAAAAAAAAAGATCTGTCTCATGTATACCAACTGTCCCAGTATGCCAAACGCCTTGTCTGTATATTGGCATATCATTGCTTTAGATTCCACCAGGACAGCTGTCAATTATATTATATTTTTCACCAATTATTGCTCCTCAATGTATGGTACATTACACTATACTATATACACTCCATACTTTGTGTGCTTGTTTTGAATGAAACCACTTGTTACTGTTGCTGACTGTCATGTACTTTTCAGTGTTGAATAAATACCATATGGAAACCAATAACTAGGAAATGGTGTGTAAAACATCTGAAAAAGAAAAAAATGCTTTTGTAGTTTGTGACCAGGGTTATTTTTGTTCACGCTTGCTCTTTATGATGCGAATTATGTGTCCAGTTTGTGAAAATTCTGGTATTTCTGGGAGTTCTGAGAGTCTGCTTTTTTAAAAAGAACCCCTTTGCTGTGAAGCACACTTCTGGGAATAGTGCCAAGTGAAATGTTGAGTGTCGAGTGCTAAAATATTGCTGTTAGAGCAACTTCTCGAAACAACGAACCATCTTTGCAACATCCTCTTTCTGTGTTTTTGCCTGTGTTTGTCTGAGGTTTATAAAGGTCACATTCTTATGCGAGGCAGTTATTCTTGAATGCACGTTTTTGTTGTTTAAATTTAGAACGTCCAATTTTGTTTTGTGTGTGTGTGTGTGTATTTTACTAACCCAGTTTTGGAACCACCAGTTGTGTGTTTTTGCCAGAGAGAGCAAGGAAGTGCAGGCAGACTCCTCCAGCTCTCCCACCCTCCAGCCACTCGTGTTTCAATAAGTCACGGGAGGTTCACTGCCAATTGGAGGACAAGCATGTCACTCGCCGGCAGCACCGCGAGCCTGCAAGCACCGGGGTGACCACAGGGGGCGCTGTGTCGTGGGGAACAAAGAGAGTCCTGACCGACCATCCAGGTCACAGTCTCTAATGACATGACCCAATTTCAAACCCACTACACCTGGATCATGATCGTGTTTGGGTGAGCACCTTTGCCACCCCTGTGGTCAATAATGTACATCCATAGAAGGTCCCATGCAAGCACACATGAACATAAGGACGGTCACAGACAAGAGGAGCCATTTGGCCTTTCAAATCCGTTTGGTAGTTAGTGGTAAGACAATCAGAGGGTCTCATCCACCATTCCTCAAACAAAGGCAGGGTTTTGGCTTCAACCACATGCCTAGGCACCTTGTTCCACACTCCCACAACTCTGTGAGTACAGAGGTGCCTCCTGTCCTAACTGGAGGACTTCATTGGGCTGTTTCATGAAAGAAGCCAGGGTATAAACATCAAAAATATGACTGGGGATCTTGTTCCATACTCCCGCCTCCCTTTTGGAAAAGATCGTACAGGAAAGCTGCCGCATTCACAAAACCCATTGCCTTCAAAGTGGTTCTCCAGACTTGGTTTATAAGGCTTACAGTATATCTACAAAAATGATACAAATTAAAACGTTGGTGATTTCTCCATAAAAATGTGCAAGATTAATGCATCAGTGTGCAAAATTCATCTTGATGACCTACTTAAGATCAGAGCTGTGTCTTAACTATGTCATTAGTAGTTAAATTGGATTGAATTGGATTTATTCTAACTCAACGGTAGTACTGTCCCCATACTGTCCCATTTGTTTGAAACCACTTCCCCCTTCATCACTGTCATAGTCTTCCAGTCCTGAACAGATAGGTGTATGTAGGGGATCAACACAAGTGGCCAAATCAATGCACCTGTACTAAAAAGACACCTCCACAAATTGCTTTTCACAATAAAACAATGACCTAAACATGCAAGTGGAGTCTGTGTGGAAGTCTGTTTAGGATTGAAGTGCATTTTAAACTTGGAAGAGGATGAATTCTTTTCAAAAAAGGACTGTGAGAGTTTAGAACAACTAACCAACATCCTGCCTTGCTTTCAAAGCCAATACCCTGACTTCTGTTAAGAAACCACTGTTTGAGACCGTTGGACTACTTAGCTAATCAGCAGTCATAACCAGCAAAACAGCTCTACCTCAGTGCTTCGTTTGCCCTGTTATTATTCATTTGAAGGCTCTGCAAAGAGATTTCCCCTGGTAATATACACACCTAAAGCTGCTCACCTCATAGTGTACCTGGAAACCTGAAGTGTGCTGAAATTTAACTGGAATATCGAATAACCTTTACTCAACAGAATCAGCCTTAACATCCAGTTTCCAGTTCTACCTTCTTTGAAAAGGAGAGACACCAGATACAAGAAAACTCCAACACCAGAGAAACACCAGGAAAGAGAGGTTAGCTACCTAAAGTTAAAGTGCTGTAGCTATGTAATATATTGAGAATCAATCTAGGTAAATAAATGTTTGGGTTTCTCGATGTGTGTCCGTTTGTGGTGAGTGAGGAGCTGAATTAAAGCCATCTCTTGCTCTCTTTTTTATTTACTTTCTACCAACCAAAAGTTAATGACTGAAATAAAAGTCCCTGTGTTTATTTTTTGCTCCTCTCACCTTCCCCGTGACTAAAAGTCATCCGTTGATCATTTGATTTAAACTTGACTCAAAGCCTCCCGTCATGTGAGCTAAGTTTCGTGGTTCAGTAGAGTAAAACAAGCGGCCCAGAGCGTCACACTGCCTGTACTCAAGTGCCTCCAGCGGCTCCCATCTGTACAGTGTGGGAGGTAAAGGCAACAGACAGACATTCTGCTGGTCACTGACCTACAATGCCCACTTCCTCTATCACAGTATTCCAAAGCTAGGAAAGGAAAACTCTTTCACATGATGTGGGGGGGGATTTCCAAGCATTTTTTTAATGTTTTAGTGTGGTAGGACAATCAGCTCTGCTGTCTCAGGGGATCCTGGGTTCTGTTTCATTTTGAGTTCCCTCTGGTGTTGGTATGTTCTCCTTGAGCTTGTCTCCTAACACACAAGTTAGGGTTCATTGATTAAGACTAGATAGGGTATGTTCCCAGTACTGACTACGGGGATGAATAGCACATGGTATAGGGTATATTAATGTACCCACTTTGAGTTATGCATCACTAGAAGTGCTTAATGTGGTATACCATCTACCCATCTACACACCCATCTGTCAATTCATGGATGGGCACCTCTGTTACACCCTAACCACCCCTCCACAATGCTGCTGGCTCCATCATTGGACACAAACTGTCACGATCGTAATCCCTCCTCTTAAGGGCGCTCCGGCTCTTTCACATTTTAGTTGATCATGTGCACCTGCCGCCATTCCTGCCCCTCTCGGCGTCCTGACCCAGCTGAGACTGGGGCTCAGAGCGCCTGGCCGCGTGATCCTGCTTTTATTCCCTCTCCCTGTACCAGATCCCATTCCGGTTTTTATACTTGTCTAGATTTTGTTTTGGATGGATCTCCCGGCTTTTGGACTGCTTCCTGCTTTCCCCTTCTGGAGAGTTTTGGACTCGTTCGCCGGTGCCACGCCCCCCAAGCACCGGAACAATGTCAGTCATCCCGTCCTGATCCTGTCGTGCTTCCCTGTTACCCTTCTCCAGTCTCTTCCAGATTTTACCGTCTGCATAGGGTCCTGACCTACGCAGCGTAACACAAACACATTCACTTACACACACAGACATGGGGACACCATCTCACCCAGACAAGTACTGTATATCCAAAGATTGTGATAGAAACCCTTTGCAGGCATGGAGAAAACATGGAAAGCCTACAGTCAAGTCAGGAACAGAACCAGGAGCTGTATGGCAGCAGCTCTTGGGCACCACACCACTGTGCCACCCAGGGTTCCATGAAACTATATCTCATCAGTAGATGCCAAACAGAACCCCCACCCCCCCTCCCCCCCACCTCTTCCATCCTCCTGGATCATGTTCAGATGTGACGTTCAAAAAAATTCATGAATTAGAAAACAATGAGCCATCCCGAAGAGAGGTCATGACTCTTTTACTCTTTGTATACTTCTAAATGGTAAGAATCACCATTGTTAACCCCTTCTTTAAACTATATTGAGTTTATTAAATGGCATAGAAACCGAAAGCCTACAGACATTTTACCTCTTCATTGTACAGAACATGCAGCAACATGTTCTATGTTCATTACAATTCTATGTATAATGGCAATTTCTGTCCGTCAGTCTGAGCCGCTTGAAACTAAGGTTTAGCCAAAGAAGTGGCGGCCCCTGGTGGCAGGAGGATGTTCCATCGCTTATGAAAACCTGCACCAGTACTATACGGGAACTTGAACCCTTCTGTAATGTAATGTTTCTTTATTAGCCCTATACAGTTTCTTGCATTAGGAATTCATCTTTTCACATACCCCAGCTTTTCTCCATGGAGACACAGACACGGAGAAAAGCTTGGGGTCAGAGCACAGGGTCTGCCATTGTATGGCGCCCCTGGAGCAGTTGGGGTTAAGGGCCTTGCTTAGGGGCCCAATGGAGTAGGATTCCTCTGCCAGCTGCAGGATGTGAACCGGCAACCTTCCAGTCACAGGCACAGATCCTTAGCCACCGCTCTGGCCATCAGCATTAATGTTCTTTTTCAACATCCAACCATTTTCTAACTGCTTTATCCATTTCAGGATTGCAGAAGAGCTGGAGCCTATCCAATTGGTGCAAGACACGATACACCCTGGACAGGACACCACATCCATCACAGGGCACACACACACATAGACACATACTCACACCAGAGACAATTTTTCCAGAGGGCAATTAACCTAACAGAATGTCTTTGGACTGTGGGAGGAAAGCGGAGCACCCAGGGGAAACCCACACAAACACAGGAAGAACATACAGACTCCACACACAGAGTGCCCCAGTAATTGAACCCAGGGCCCCAGCATGTGACACAGTATTGACTACCCCTGTGCCACCGTGCCCCCCCTCTGTTAAGTTTGCCCAAATCAGCCCTAATTCATGGGACCAAAACAATGCACGCATACAGTGTTCTACTGCAGTAGCATATTTTGCTTAGCTCCACTCTCACCCTTTCCACCTGTCAACAGACTTAAAATGCCAAGACAGAACCTGGTTCTGTCATCCTACACATTGGGTGATCTGAGCTAAAAATCAAGGAATTATTTTCTGAGATGCATTTTAATACCTCGTTGTAAAAGAAAAGGTGATTAATAAAAAAGCATTTAGAAGTCGCCAAAACCTGCAGATGTTATTCTTTACAAACGTTTCCTGTGGTGTCCAGGTAGGTGAGAAAAACACCATGACATCACGGCAAAGCAGAGGACTTTACAGTAAAGTACCACACGAGATGAGATGTAGGGAAAAATAGTACCGCACCCTGTGTGCGTCGTACAACTGCAAAACTGCCACACAAACACACATTCCCTTGCTGACCTTCAAAAGACAAAACAGGTAGAGGGGATACCTTTCTTTATGAAGCTGTCAGTCAGCTGGAATGACCACAATCTGCATTGAGCAGAACAGAATCCAGAAAGCTCATCCCACTTTTCTTAGCCTTTCGGGGTACCCACTGTCATAGACTGTTAATGCCCTTCTCAGATCCCAAAGGCTACAAGCCAAAGCGTGTTGTTTAAAGTTCACTTTAAATCGATAGGTTATGAACACTTTTAAACCATGTTTATTTTATTGATTTCACAAGACTATGTTTTTTTTTTCAGAGACTAGTTCAAGTTCAAGTTCATTGTCATTATACTCATATACAGGTATATGGGACGACGAAATTCTATTTAGCTAGCTCTCAGACGGTAAGAAGTACAAAAAAAAACCAACAACAATACAATTGTATAAGAAAAGAAAGACAGAGACAACAGGCAATGTGCAAAACAACAACAGTTAACAGGTTATGTGCAAAACAACATCAGATGTGCAAAATCGTACATCAGCAAAATGAAATAAAGGATAGAAAATTAGCTTCTTGACATATGAGGTAGAGGTAGATTTCAATGTGTGTTTGAGTTTTGGTAAAGACAGAAGGCACTGTGAGGTTCATATCGTAGGTGAGAGAGGCTGGGAGTTTAATAGTCTGATAGTGCGGGGGTACCGTTTTCCAGATGGTAGAGGGTCATACAGTCTGTAGCTGGGGTGCGTGGGGTCTTTGGTGATGCTTTCTAAAGCACTGTCTGTCATAAATGTCCTGGATGGATGGGAAAGCAACCCCAGTGATTTTCACCACCCGCTGAAGGGCTTTGCGGTCAGCAGTACTACAATTGCCATACCACACTGTGATGCAACCTGTCAGTATGGTTTCTGTAGTGCATCTGTATAAGTTAGTGAGGATCTGGGGATTAATCTTAGCCTTCTTCAACTGTCTAGGGAAGTACAGGCGCTGTTGCGCTTTCTTGATCAGACAGGTGGCGTTGAGAGACCATGGGAGGTCCTCAGTGATATGGATGCCAAGGAATTTGAACTTACTGACCCTTCAGTCCCGTTGATGTGGATAGGGGCATGTCCATTTTGCAGTTTTATGAAATCAGCGATAAGCTCCTTGGTTTTGCTGACATTGAGGGTGAAGTTGTTGTCCTCCCACCATGTTGTAAGGAGATTGACCTCCTCCTTGTATCCCTCTCATCATTGTCTGTGATCAGACCTACTATGGTGTCATCGGCAAACTTGATGATGGAGTTGGTGTTGTGTTTGGCCTTACAGTCATGGGTATAGAGGGAGTAGAGCATTGGACTAAGCACACAACCCTGGGGGACCCAAGTGTTCAGAGTTAGTGTGCCGGAGGTGTGGTTTCCAAACCTGACAGCCTGAGGTCTGCCTGTCAGAAAGTCCCAAATCCACTTGCAGAGGGTGGTGTCAAGACCCAGTACACTGAGTTTCTTGACTAGTTTCTCTGGAATGATAGTGTTAAAAGCTGAGCTGAAGTCAATGAATAGTAGTCTTGTGTATGTGTTATTTTTATCCAGATGGGATAGGCAATGGAGATTGCTTCATCTGTGGATCTGCAGGCTCTGAGGACGTGACTGGTTATGCCGTCGGGTCCTGCAGCCTTGTGTGTGTTCACTCTTAGCAGAGATCTCCTCACCTCATCTGCAGACAGTGAGAGCAGCTGGTCAGCTGCGGCGGATGCAGCTCTGATGGCTGGTTCTGTGTTGCTGGCTTCAAACCGAGCGAAGAAGGTGTTGAGCTCGTTAGGCAGGGAGGCATCATGGGCAGGTGCACAGATGTTCTTCCTCTTGTAGTCTGTGAGGGCCTGTATATCTTGCCACATGCGCCTTGGGTCATTGGTGGTGAAGTGTTCCTCTAATTCCTGTTTGAGTGTGTTTTTGCATGTTTAACACTATTGTTTAGATTGATCCTGGCTGACCTTAGTTCTGATTTATTGCCCGATTTGAATGCTGCATCCCTTGCTTTGATTAGGATGCGGACCTCACTGTTCATCCATAGTTTCTGGTTAGGAAAAGTTCTTGTTTCTTTTGTGAGTGTAACATCATCAGCACATTTCCTGATGTAGCTAGTGACTGATGATGCATATTCCTGTATGTCGGTGTATGATCCCTGTGTGGCTACCTCTTTAAACACATCCCAGTTCTCGTCCTGTCACGTTTACCGAGTGATGGCGTTTCTTTTTTAATCCTCTTCATCTCCAAAATGGCAAAGTACTCATTTCGCAAGCTTCGAGCGTCTTTAGAAACGAAATGGTTTCCTCGGTTCTCCTGTCGGGTAAGAAAACATTGCTCTCACGCTGCCAGCAGGGAGGCAGTCGATGACACAGACGTGTCGCCGGGCCGTCAGCACCAACACAGACGGCACTGGAGGAAGTCAATGTGTTATACCTCGGGGAACTTTGTAATAAGGCAGGACAGCAGATGCATTTTAGTTGGCTTTAGCAAAACGTGTGGGTTGATGCCACAAAAAAAAACGTGGTTGCTCTTTTCCTTTCCTTTTTCACAGATGAAAGAGACGGCAGAACAAGTTACTAAAGCGAAGGACCCAACTAGCTGGGCTCTGGTTTCACCGAGTCGCCCACGCTGTGGTAAAAAAAAAAAAACATTATTTTGCCTGTCGGAGCAGGGTTTGTGTGCGAAGTCTACGAACAGAACTGTCGCGCAGTGCCTGCGAGGGCGATTTTCATTTGAAACAGATGTTCTGGGCATGGCACCCTTTATCGAAGTTTGCTGGCGAAATTATTCTTTTATTTTCTCAACCGATTTCAGGTCTCCTGTGGTGGTAAAGAAAGGGACAAATAAATATATTCAGATAAACCCAGATAAACACCAGATGCTTGTTAACCAGATTATTAAAAAGTACAAGAATGAATCTCCTTAAGAAGAAGCGTGAGCATCCTATCAGGATTCTTATATCGAATTCAATAACGTACTTCACTTTGTCTGGCTTTTATAATTGGTCCTTATTATTATTATTATTTTTGTTGTTGCAAATCCCGGGTTCTAAGCAATGCTTGAAGAGCTAGCGAGCTTATCAGCCGGTCGATAAAAAGTCTTCGGCAGGACTTCCCCGCGTCACCCCACGGAGTTTACAGAGAGGAAACGCTGTATCGAATACTTGACCAGAGTTTCCTTCTTCAACGCCGGCTGGGGTTTTCTCAGCCGAATTCGGTTGAAGCTGTGTCGCACGGTTTGTAGGGAGACAATATGATAAAACATATTATTTTGTAGATTTCTGCCATTATTATTATTATTGCAATTTCATCAATGCCGTCGGTCCATAGGAATGCCGTCTGCGTTACGCAAATAAGCATCAGCTACAAGTTTCGGAACATGTTTAATCCTGTGAACCAGTTTTCAATGAACAAGGGATAATGCGGGGACTTTCCATGTCTAAATGTGTACGTAGTGTGTTAAGTGGAATATACGCCTATGCAAATCAGCGTTGATCTCTGCCTTTATATACCAATGAGGCCAAAGAATGAAACAGAGCAATTGAATGTAGGTGGCGTTTTTTCTCTTTCTAAATCTGACATCAGTACTTATGACAGATGAATCAGCAACTGTTGAGAGTCCTAAGATTCGGTTACTTGGTAGCAGAATGAATCACCGAGTAGTGGTGATGATGTTTTTAAAACGGCGGCACAGAGAAAATGAAAGAAAAACCGAAGGAAAAGAAAAAACGAGATGAGAAAGAATAAGACAAACACGAAACTACCTTCGTCTGAACTTCCCGTGAGTAATTGAAAAGAATGAAAGGATAAACTGGTTTGTGTGAACGTGGGGCTCCCAGGTTAAGATCGCACCTGAAGACGTTATACGAAATGTACTATGACTTTAGGGTTATAACTTATACTGTATAGGTGGCCATTCTTTCATTGCAGATGTATGTACTGTACAGTATGTGTATTTTATGTGGGCATGGATTTTGTGGAAGTGTGGAAACAATACCAATAACATTTTTCGTTCTGTGCACACGCCTATTTCTTCATTGCACACTATGTCCTTAAAAAGACCGTATAAATGTATTCTATACGACATGTATAAAGATGGAAAGATATTGATATTCTGTTATCATTCGCTGTCTAGCATATCTGGGTAGATGTTTAGCTCTTTTCTGAGATCAGTCAAGAGAATTGCCATATTTTTGGTGTATTAATAACAATAAAAAATAATGCTTTCAGTCCAACGTGTATTGACACATCACCGACTCTGGAACATTACATATTACATATAAAATTCGCGGCTGGGCGCGAGTATGAAATGACAATGGAGTAGTCCGCTTGGATTTTAGAAAGTGAGGGGAAAGCCGGTGTTTTCCATGAATTATCGTTCTGTGCTGTGACTGAATAGACACAAAATAAATATGTCAATTTACGTATTACAACGGATTTTTATAATTTTGACATTTCTCCAACGGCGAAGATTAATATAAGGGTTATAACCCTTTGTGAAAAATCTGATGAATTGTTAAATGGAGAAACGGCTTCTTGTTTAGAAAGTCCGGACCACATTTAGAATTATTTGCAGTTTGGGGTCTTTGGAAAAGGGGTAGCCGATTATTTATAACTGGTTTCAGAATAGAATTAACTAACATGATATTCATTGTTGCCTTCCACAGCTATTTGAATGTGTTCCTATTCACAAAGTGTAGTTTCTCAGTGTGTGTATTAACAGCGTTATTGTGTGACAGAGTTAGCGGTAAAACCACTCACAAACGGTAATATACTGTACAACACTTGTACTGCAGGGCAATTTTTGTTTCTTGGTAAATAAGTCTATAACGATGTTTCCAGAAACCAGAGAATTAGCAAATAACACCTCTCTCGTGTGTGTGATGCGATGTGTGCTGCTTATTAGAACAAAATATGCATTCTTTTTAATTACACAAAGTGAAGCAATAGAACAACATAATTTTCTGGGTTGAAGATTTGGTGTAACATCGTAATACAAATTGTTTTAGCAAAAGCAACGTTTTGTTGTTTTGTGTTTCATTTTCTCTGTAGTGCATTAGCTTTTAATCTTTCCTGGTAAACGACATCATAACTTGAAAAACAAGCAAAAACAGCAATCGCTGCAAATAACACCAGAGAAGACTGGTGTAAGGCTTTCGTTTTAAACGATTTAAATGTATACAGTGTATTAACATTTTTTCAGATATTATAAATGAATTTGTATGAAATGATTCTGTATAGCATACATTTTGTATGGGACTGTGAAAGGCCGAGTCCTCTCTGCACATTGGCTGATGTACTGCCTTTCGATATAAAAGTAGAAATTATTCCAATTATTATTATACTGTGAACATTTAGAGCAAAGGGGAAAAAATGCAAAATAACAGAACAACTTTACAACTGAACGCAGAACAAAAACTCTTAAAAGAATAAAAGAACCTGTCTTAACATGCCAAGCATCAGTGAGCTAGCTGTTGAAGTACAGTACTGTGCTACAATGAAACATGTATTACATGGATTAATTTTGTATTTTCTGTTCCAAATAGAATGTGCTGTTCCAATTATTGCTGTTCTTGTGCTAGCGACCCGAAACGTTAGAGCATTTCCTACAGCTCTGTAATCAGGAGAATGAATTGCAGTTTCCAGTGTACTCGAGGTATTTTCGTGGATTTTTACTTCAGCTTTAAGTTTTGCTTTGTTTTATCATTCATCAGAGTTACAGAGACATGGCCAGGGGAATGTGACTGGAAATGCAGCTGTTTGGAAAAACAGGCCCTTTTTATCCATCAGGAGAAAGCTAGGATAGGTTGGAATTGGGCTGTTCCATAACAGCAGCTGCTGGAAAAATCACAGAAATATCACAACAGCTGCCCTTTAAAATATCTGAATAAATAGCTTGATTCTCTGTCTGGTAATATTAACAACAATGGCAATAGTCACTTCAGTAGTTCTGACCATAACAAAAACATTTACCTAAATTAGGATTCTGCTTTTTCCGGACTCAAATATTTTCACTAAGGGTGGAAGATTATTTTGCATTTTGGTACATAAACAATATAGCCATTCAAACAATCAGTTGAAAAAAAGAAATCATGTAATGAAAACAATTTTGCAGTTTGACTTTTAACCTGTTCAGTATCTTCATAATACTATGATTATACTTTGAATACTACAGTCAAAATACTATGATTCCTGGTTTTGGGAATGGAGATAAATACTGCAAATGTAAAACATTTAACATAAATGGTAAGCTTTTTGGAAGATTTTTGGTTGTCTCAAAACGGGTGCAACAGAGAAAAAGAAATTCTAATTAATTGGCAGTGATGTTTGTTGACTTTGCTCTCTGTTAATCAAAAGGTTACAGAGCACCCTTCACAAATGAAGACACTTTCTTCTTGTCTCTTGTGTTCTGTGTTTAATGTAAAGCATTCTCCAGGAATAGGAGTGAAGATTTTGACAAAAGTTTCCAGATTCAGTTAAAACAATTTATGTATATAGTTATTTAACTAGACACAAATTCTTTACTCAGTCTGTATCGATTTACCCCTTCCCCCAAAGAACACGTTTCTTTTTGGCGGGAAAGCTCATGAGAGTAAAAAAGGTATCCATTTTAGAAACTATATGTGTGTTCTTGTGTGTGTTTGGATTTTCAAACAGTTCCCCTGAGTGTATTGTTGGAAACTGCATGAGAGCGTGTATTTCTGCCTCAATGGGACGTCCTGACATCCACATTCAACCTTTGTCCTTTCACAGGGGACAGAGTAGACAAATGTTCATCCTGGGCTGTCCTGCCTGTTCAGCTCTGTGGACTTGGAGGCTCTGGCAGGAGGGTGTGTGGCTGGTGACGAACTCACAGTGGAAAACACAGCCCTGCCACGAGTGGGCCTGAAAGAAGAAGATGAGTAATGCTTCAGATGACGGGAGATTGTTGGTGTGAAAAAAATCACTGATTCACCATGTGCTACAACAGCCTGCTTCTTTTAAAAACAGTGTTGAAAACTGCTATCAAAAAATATAATCTTACCAGCACACGCTGAGCTCGGTAGCACTGGTCTTTCCATGTATGGTTGCATTTCTGAAGCCCTTAATTTTCATGTCAGCTAACAGAAATGTATAAATGTGGGAAAGATACCACCAAATGCTGTTGTTTCTTAGAATATTATCGCATTATATGTCCTCAGGTTGTCATTTTGTTGTAATGTTCTGGATGCTTTGGCTCAGTTCTTACTTCACTACGCTTGAGGTTAATGTCTCTAAGCCAGTGGCGGCTGAGTTCCGGCGTGACTCTTGAGCTCAGAGAGAGCTGGAGTTGAATTTGATTTTACAAGGTTTGCCCGGTTCCATGCGTGTAACACAATGCAGGCCTTGCCATGTTTTCAACATGGCTATTAGGACTGGGGCTGTGGGCTGAGATGGCGACATGTGACAGGAAAAGGAAATGAGGTATGTAGCCCTGCGATGTGATTGGCTGAGTTGAGATATCAAGCCATAAAAGTGACAGGAAGAATGCCAGTGTTGGCTCTTTCTTCATTGAGGCTGATGAGCTAAGAACAGCAAGGTTTCAGTGGCAGCAAAATTGGTACCGACATGAAAATTACTTTAAGATATTATGAAGTTAAACTGGAAGATTCCATAGAGAGGTGAAAGAAGCCCAGGTAATAATTTTGAAAACCTAATAAAATGTTTGAGATTTAAATGTTATTGACTCATAGTGGTTGTGGAACAACGTCTTTGTGGGTTTTTTTAACATAGTACATTCTATTCTTATTCATTCAAGGCAAGCAAAATGTTTCTCTTGTATCAAGTTAAAGTGTTGCTCTGTTTTAAGATGAACATCCTAAAGAATAATAAAATGTACAGTGCAAGTGTAGAAAGATATGGAATTGGAGGGTACTGTGCTTAGCTTGGTTTCTGAGAATACTTGTTAAACTGTGCAAAACTTGGGATGCAAATTCTGCGCAAGAAACATGAGGTGATATTACAAGCCATGACGCGCTGCACCAGAGTGTGAACTGATAAGCCTCTGCATTTACAGTGTAGAGCTGAAAAGCAAAGAGTGATGAAATCTTTCACATGATTCCTGGAACACAGCTCTTACAAATAACAATAATGCTCAGTATAAAGCTTTAATAATTCTGTTTAGACCTTTTCAGAAATAACACACACAGATGGTGCACACACTAGTGCTGTAAGTACGATCCGTGGGACAGCTGCTAATCTATACAAAAAGGTATGTTTTGGAAGAGAATCTTTTCTCTTTCCTTCATGACTTTACAAAGGAAAAATGTTCTTGTTGCAAATATGATGTTTACTTCTAAAGTTCGGAATTTCATCAACGCTATGGGGAGGATGGGGGTGCAGTGGTTAGCGTTGCAGTCCCTGGGGTGCTATAGGTGTGGAGTTTGTCTGCTCTCCCTGTGTTTCCATGTTCTTTCTCAATGTGCTCTGGTTTCCTCTCAAAGCGCAAAGACATGCTGGTAGGTTCATTGGTTTCTAGGTAAAACTGGCCCTGTTGTGAGTGTGTCTGTGTCTGCGTGTGCTCTGCGCTGGACTGGTGTCCTGTCCAGGGTGTATCCTGCCTTTTGCTTGTTGCTTGCTGGGATAGGCTCTGGCTCCCCCTTGACCCTGAATTGGATGAAGCAGTTAGAAAATGGATGGATGTTATTACTATTATAGGTGTTACAATTAAAAAGGTGTTGACCAATATATTTTTAACTTTAACAACCAGAAAAGACATTTGAATGCCTTTTGATTTCAGTTCTGTTAAAGAGTCAAGAGGATATGACCCTGATAGACATAATGCATTGACTCCAGGAGACAGTCTGTGCTGATGTGGCTCCTGTGCCCTGAGTCATTCTTCAGCAGGGCGCCTTTAACCCCAGTTCACTCCTGCCTCTTGTCACAAGCTTGATGCTATGATCTGCTCCCCACACTGCTCTGCGGAACGTGTATGCGTTTTGTACAGCTGGACATCGCCCATGAGAAGAGGTGGGAAAGCATGGAACAGCTGCTTGTGAGCTCAGGATTATGAAATGGTAAGGGGGAGTCAGAAATAGCATGCAGAATAAGACCAAGGACTCTGCTTCTTCCCGTTAAGAATTGTGTGCTTTTAATTGTACGCGTGTGTGCTCTGTCTCTGTGTGTGTGCTTTAGCTTGTGGGAAGTGGAGTAAACCATTGTTTAGACATTATCAACTCGATCAAATGTACTGTAAGCGCTGGAAGAAAAGTCCTTTGAAACTAACACGGAAATTTACTTCGGTATTTTTTCCCCCACAAGGAACAGTATGTTCTTGGCCCGTCACGCCCCCGCCTTCACTTTCCAGGTAAAGCCGGCCAGTCCCGTCTCGACCTGCCGGGAAGGAAGCGCGGCCCTTTCTAGCCTCGTGATCAGTTCGCGCGGAGAACTAGGGGGGGGTCCGGTTCGGGCGAGGAGCGCCGGGACCGCTGCGGAATTCTCGGCTTTGAGAACTGAATTCCAAGGGTTGAGGTTTACCGACCAGCCCATGGACCTCAGTTCTGGAGCTTGGGGTTTCTAAACGACACCGCTGGGACTCACACTTCCCTTCGCGCCTTTCTGAGTTGGAAAAGTACAGGGGCTGCGTCTGAAATGCAAGTGTTGTTTTTCTTTGGTCTTCAGTCCGTGGGGAAGCACAAAAGGCGTCTTGGAGAAATTGCAGACCGTATAAAAAGGACTGGCGGTGTTAGTATGTGTCATTCTGTTGCTGTGCAGGTCGTTGCTCAGTGGATTTCAAGCTGCCGGACGATTTCAACAGACAGAATAGAACTGAACTTAATGTTCCTCCCCCACATACACCCTCTTTGCCCGCAGGCCAGCAATGGCCTAGCTTTTTGCTGTTCTGTTAGGAAACACCGTAAAACTTGGGGTGTGTAGGTGACTTCATCCTGCCCACACCACTGGATCAACCCTCAAGTTTCGAAAGGTTAGATTTATGCAGAGATCCCTTGAAGAGCAAGCTGGATCACACGGCTAGCTCCTACACCAGATGCAAGCCTTGCTAGTTTCACAGTCCCGGGGTCAAACAGCTCTCTTTGTTAACCGCTAATGAGTGCCAAGAAACGCGATATGTTCTTGCGAAGACTTCAGGAAATATTTGAAAATTATGTTAGTCTTGCCATTTAAATTAAGGTTGGAATGAAATCAGAAAGGTGGCAATGGATAGATCACCCCATTCGAACATCATTGTGTAATGCTTTACGTATAACGCAGCTGATTTCCATTTTATATTGGCTACAAAGATAATGTTAAAACATAACACCCCCATAAACAGATCGACGCGCAATCGCCTTCAAATGTATTGGCTTCGCTGTTAAAGAGCTCCCTCTACCGTGTTCAACTGGAAATGAAAGTTTCGTCTAGCTTTGGAGACACGAGCTGTAGTTATTTTTAATCCTGTGTCCCTCTAGAAATGCTTTTAGGTAGAGAAAAATCAGTCGTTTACAGTGCTGACCCGGAGAGTGCTCACTTTGCTCAAGTAAAAGCGCAGCACGTGCCCTACCTACGCCTCGAACCCGGGACCAGCGCCCTCCCAGCCCTACCCACTACTGCACTGGCCAACGGGGCTGGCAGAGTTCTGTTTTGTTTCTGTTGTTATTTATTAAAATGTCGATATAAAATGTACTAATATAAAAGTATAACTTATACATTTTAGTTGAGTGTATGTAACTTCGCTCCCTACCAACCATTTAATTCAATATTATAGCAACCACATAGGATCGTTCGACAACGATAAATGACTGTTTTGCAATAAACATTTTTGCTCTAACTTAACATTATGCGATTGATTTCTTCTTCTTCAACCTCCAGACCTGACTTATGGTTTAAGATGTTTTTTTGAAAAACGGTTCGGGGCATTCAGCCTCTGTTGTACTCGGTTAACTATTGATACTGTGCTAACAGCGTTTGATTTATGCTTTCAACATTCATAACTTTTTGGATTTAGAAATATTTAATTTTACTCGAAATATCATTTATAGGAAATTAGCCGAGTGTTTAGACTACGTCAGTCCAGGCAGGTTTGCTAAAACATGAACTTCGCAGCCGTCTTAAAATTCAAACTTTTCTATATATAAAAATATAATATAGGTCAGCGCTACAGCAGCAAAATATAATACAATAGTATACAATAAACTATATAGGTCCGTGCAGTAATATTGTTCTAGTATAATTTGTAATAAGTAGGCTACAGGTTGTACAATAGTAGTTACTTAATAAATCAAGTTAAGAAATATTACGTTTTACAGAGGAAAATTTAAGATTTTTTTTCACAAATACTTCAAAATAATCATTGAGACTGTGAATCTCAGTCAGATTATGGTACAGAGAAATCTGATTCTTAACGTGCTCTCACGACTGAATCAGTCAGGGACGAGAAGGTGGGCAGACTTGAACCAGATTTTTTTTTCGCCATTTTGAAACGGCATTTAAATAGTTGAGACAGGCAGAACATCACCACATATTTGCAATCGTCCACTCCCCTCCATCTGCACGCTAATTCGGTAACAAACGGCAGCAGGGGTTTCGGGAGAGCTCGGTTAAGACGGACGACAAAGTCTTCAGTATCAACCGCCTGCCTCAGGAATCATGATTCCCGGTATGTCATCTAAAAAAATCCGCACTGAAGGCAAATACAGCATTAGCTAATTCTGGGGGAGAAATAATTGTGCACCTTGGTTCGGTTCTGTCCAGGGTTCGGTGGAGGCAGCGCGGAAGACACCAGATGGTGTTTCGCACAGGTGAAAGGTGACGTGGAGGTCAATGTCACAGAAGGTAAGAAGTCACCTGGCTACGCAATTGTTGTTTTACTAGGTTTTTATAAAAAAAACATTCTCTGTATTTAATTGTTTGACGCTCGAAGTAGTCCTACGAAGTGTTTATGTTGATTTAAAAAAATAACTTGTCTTTATCAAATGAGTTCATTCTAAACGGCGTGTTTCGGAAGTTGTTTTTTTTTTCTTCACACGCCTTTACAGCAGGTGTTGTAAGCCCGGTCGAGCTCATAAGTATATTGGATTGTGTTGTTTATTTCATCCCTCCCACCTTTTTTTTTTGTTTTGTCCTGTAAAGTTATATTCCTCTGAGTGCTATCAAGCATGGAATATGATGCACATATTTGTTTTTATCAGCACTCTGTTTTTAAACATGGTGGTTTGGAGGCGTGGGAGAATGAATAAAAGTATGTTGCAGCGTAGCACAAGTCCGTGTACGTGTGTCTGTGGAAGCAGTATCTCCCTACAGGTCAGGTAACTTGAGTGGGAAAAGGCGTTCTTTATAATTTCTTCGTGGAGTTGAAGGCATTACATAACCTGCTCTGACATACAAAAACGCTGAGATGGTACCTGCATGGAGGAAAAATAACTGTTATCTGTTTTGTACTGCCCTTCAACAACCACGGTTTAAGCTGGGGACATGATTTCCTTATGCTTTCAGTACATTTGGAGACCATACTTCGGTGTATCAAGGCTTGTCGCGGGTGTCTTTGACAGAGAGGGGGAGTAAATTTTAGAATAATATGACTTACAGTTGTACTGTACTTTATAACATTGAACGCCGAGACGTTTCTATGGAAACCTGAACGATTCCGGTTTTGACGAACATGTTGCGGATCCTCATTGAGTGCCTTTGCCTGTAACTGAGCACCGATCGTCGGAAACCGGTCCTTGCCCACTTTCAGTC